AATACACACCTGCAGTGGCGCCACTATACGGGGAAATACACACCTGCAGTAGTGCCGCTATACGGGGAAATATACACCTGCAGTGGCGCCATTATCCGGGGAAATATACACCTGCAGTGGCGCCGCTATACAGGACATACACACCTGCAGTGGGGCCACTATAAGGGGAAATACACACCTGCAGTGGCGCCACTATGCGGGAAATACACACCTGCAGTGGCGCCACTAAACGGGGAAATACACACCTGCAGTGGCGCCACTATACAGGACATACACACCTGCAGTGGCGCCACTATACAGGAAATATACACCTGCAGTGGCGCCACTATACGGGGAAATACACACCTGCAGTGGCGCCTCTATACGGGGAAATACACACCTGCAGTGGCGCCACTATACGGGGACATACACACCTGCAGTGGCGCCACTATACGGGGAAGTTTACACCTGCAGTGGCGCCACTATACGGGGAAATACACACCTGCAGCGGCGCCACTATACAGGACATACACACCTGCAGTGGCGCCACTATACGGGAGAATATACACCTGCAGTGGCGCCACTATACGGGAGAATATACACCTGCAGTGGCGCCACTATACGGGGAAATACACACCAGCAGTGGCGCCACTATACGGGAGAATATACACCTGCAGTAGTGCTGCTATACAGGAAATATACACCTACAGTAGTGCTGCTATACAGGAAATATACACTTACAGTAGTGCCGCTATACAGGAAATACACACCTGCAGTAGTGCTGCTATACAGGAAATACACACCTGCAGTAGTGCTGCTAGACAGGAAATATACACCTACAGTAGTGCTGCTAGACAGGAAATACACACCTGCAGTAGTGCTGCTATACGGGGACACCCAGCAGTGTGGATTGATTTGTCGATTGTTTAGGTAATCAGATAAAAATGGAATATTTGAAGACAATGCAGTGGACATCTTGCGTCTTGTTCTCTTATTCGATTTCAAATCGATGCACTATGTAAGCAGACGCTATATCGACCATTGTTCAAACAGAATCTCTTTGATATCCTGTTTTCGTTTCTGCTGAGATCGTTAAACAGTGACCATTTGTTTACAGGAATATGTGTGAACCCTTTTCGTGACATACTTTTTTCCATAAAGTATGAAAATAAGCAGACAAAATATCCTGAAAATAATTACATAATGACACTGTTCCATTTTCTCTTTCATAACTGACGACAGAAGCAGTTTGAAGTGTGAGGGAAATATGTTTATCCATTTCCTAAATGTTTATAACGTAAAAGATACACACTCTAACATGTGCTTGGGAGGAGACACGTGGTACTAATACAAGGATTGTACAAAGTTATGACATGGACATTTATAAGCTTTGCACGACTAAACACATCAACTACGTCGGCGGGCAAGTGCATCTGTCATGAGTGACGAGTAAAACAAAGCACAGCTTGATATCTCGAGACAATTCGTCACGTCATTGTATCATGTGCTTGTAAAGAAGTACGCTCACGTCACATCGTTGTATCATGTGCTTGTAAGGAAGTACGCACACGTCACATCATTGCATCATGTGCTTGTGAAGAAGTACGCTCACGTCACATCGTTGTATCATGTTCTTGTAAAGAAATACGCTCACGTCACATTATTGTATCGTGTGTTTATATAAAAGTACGCTCATCTTACATCATTGCATCTTGTGCTTATAAAGAAGTACGCACGCGTGACATCATTGTGTCATATGCCTATTAAAGAAGTACGCCCACGTCACATAATTGTATCTTGTGCTTATAAAGAAGTACGCACGCGTGACATCATTTTATCATGTGCTTATAAAGAAGTACGCCCACGTCACATAATTGTATCATGTGCTTGTAAAGAAGTACGCCCACGTCACATCGTTGTATCATGTACTTGTAAAGAAGTACGCCCACGTCACATAATTGTATCATGTACTTGTAAAGAAGTACGCCCACGTCACATCATTGCATCTTGTGCCCATAAAGAAGTACGCACGCGTGACATCATTGTGCCATGTCCCTATTAAAGAAGTACGCCCACGTCACATAATTGAAACTTGTGCTCATAAAGAAGTACGCTGACCGTGACATCATTGTATCATGTGCTTGTAAAGAAGTACGCCCACGTCACATCATTGTATCTTGTGCTCATAAACAAGTAAGCGCACGTGACATCATTGTATCATGTGCTTGTAAAGAAGTACGCGCACGTGTCATCATTGTATCATGTACTTGTAAAGAAGTACGCTCACGTCACATCGTTGTATCATGTGCTTGTGAAGAACTACGCTCACGTCACATCGTTGTATCATGTGCTTGTAAAGACGTACGCTCACGTCACATCGTTGTATCATGTGCTTGTGGAGAAGTACGCTCACGTCACATCGTTGTATCATGTGCTTGTAAAGAAGTATGCTCAAGTCACATCATTGCATCATGTACTTGTTAAGAAATACGCTCTTGTTACGTCATTGTATCATGTGCTTGTAAAAAAGTACGCTCACGTCACATCGTTATAACTAATGCTTGTAAAGAAGTACGCTCACGTCAAATTGTATCATGTACTTGTTAAGAAGTACGAACACGTCACATCATTCTATCATGTGCTTGTAAAGAAGTACACTCACGTCACATCATTGTATCATGTGCTTGTAAAGAAGTACGCCCACGTCACATCATAGTATCATGTGCTTGCAAATAAGTACTCTCTAGTCACATCGTTGTATCATGTTCTTGTAAAGAAATACGCTCACGTCACATTATTGTATCATGTGCTTATAAAGAAGTACGCTCACGTGACATCATTGTATCATGTGCTTATATAAAAGTACGCTCATCTTACATTATTGCATCTTGTGCTTATAAAGAAGTACGCTCACGTCACATCATTGTATCATGTACTTGTAAAGAAGTACGCTCACGTCACATCGTTGTATCATGTGCTTGTAAAGAAGTACACTCACGTAGCATCATTGTATCATTTGCTCATAAAGAGGAACGCGCACGTCACATCATTGTATCATGTGCTTATAAAGAACTACGCACTCGTTCATTGTGGGGGCAGAATTTGTCTTGTCTTGTGAGACGAGGCGACACAATTCGGTGTGCACAGTAACGTCTCTTGTCTGTGTGTGGATCCGCTTCTTGTAGGTTCGAATCGCAATGATTATGATTATAGTTTGTATTATTCAGGTGACCTTCAACCCCACTGACTTTAAATAAAGTATGAACAGCCTTTATGCATTGGTCAAAGAAGAAAAAATATTCGAATACAACTGGAGTGTGGATTAAAAGCTCTGAGTAATGAAACTGATTAACCATTTTACCTTCTGAGGGACCGCCTCCGTGGTCTAGTGGTAGAGCGACCGCCCGGAGAGCGGAAGGTCCGGGGTTCGATCCCCGGCCGCGTCATACCAAAAGACGTTAAAAGATGGTACTTGTTGTTACCCTGTCTGGCGCTCGGCATTAAGGGGCTAAAACAAGGACTGGTCGGCTCGGAGTCAGTATACTGTGTCTGAGTGGGGTATTCATGTTAAACTGCGGCATGGTATCTCAGTGAGCTAGCACTATAAATCGGCATCAGTCCAGACTAGTACAAGCAGCCACACACACACACACGTGCATGCACGTCGCTATATCAGTGCAATAATCTTGGACGCGACGTTAAACCCAATTTCACCTCACCTCACCTCCACAGTCAACCCACATGACACCAGGTGTTTGAGAAAAGTGTAAACAGGTCCTGGTCTAACTTCAATATCGTAAAAGAGAATAGCAAGATCCAGGATCCACACAGTGCAAAGAATGGTTGCGGCATACCTACCTATTGCTGCAAGTACATGTACCTATGCTGTCTGAAAGCGCACATGTGTAACACAGAAGATGTGGTACCTTCAGTGTGAGTGAGTGAGTGAGTATGGTTTTATCGCCGCTTTTAGCAATATTCCAGCAATATCACGGCGGGGAACACCAGAAATGGGCTTCACACATTGTACCCATGTCGGGAATCGAACCCGGGTTTTCGGCGTGACGAGCTAACGCTTTAACCACTAGGCTACCCGACCGCCCCGGTACCTTCGGAATCAGGAATGAGAATATGGCACCTTTCAGTTCTAGTCATATGTGTTCATAAGTATGACTTCCTGATATTTTTGTCATTGTGTTCAAGAAACAAGGAGTATAATGTTGACACAAGCATCGTGGTATACATGACGCTGTTGACATTGATATATCTACAGTGTAACGTTGTTGGTATTTTTTTTAAATTTAATCTTTTCAAAGTAATAATATATATACGTTGTTGTAATATTGTTTTATAATGAAGACGATCGGTGGAGGCATGTAGATATTGCTAAAATTAAAACCCCACAACGTTGTGAGTGCGTTTGTTATTTTTAACTATAGATATACAGAATTCGTACACTTATCCAGTCAGTGCCTAGGAGATGCAGAGCCGTGATTGTTGCCCGGGGTGGTCACACGAGATACTGAGTTCAGCGCAACCTTGTGGCCTTATGTGACATGACAATGAACAGTTTCCAATGCATTTGTACAACAACATGTTACTATCGAGCTCCAAAATGTACTATTTGTATCTATGATATTAGATTAAATATATCGACTTTATTTGGTACAATACATTTACTAAAAATCTACCTGTGCGTTTCTTTTTGTGAAGAGTGTACTCTACGTCTCTATGAGAGTTACCAACAAAGGCTAATATGTTAACTTCTGTAGCCTGACTCCTTAATGATTACCATAGATTCACGCAGGTGGGACACAGTGACATGCATCAACCAATCCCCTTGTCGCCAAGCATTGTCGCCTTTTACGGCAAGCATGGGTTGCTTAAGATCTATTCTGACCCAGATCTGTTCTCATAGTGCGGAGGGCCACGTTATGCAGAGTTGCGTCCCTTTGGGATTTAGTACGCTTTGAAAGTGCATTAAAATAAAGGTCGTTTGAGGGTTATCTGTTCCAGGCTCGAGACGTGCATGTGTACATGCTCAGCTGTCGTCCTTATCACTATCTTAAACCACCTAAGGAACTGTGTCTATATATACACAGCGAAATAGAGTAAAAACTACAGTGAGAAGCATGAGTCTCGTTCAAGGAATACTTCTTTCGTGTCTCTTCCTGTCTGGTGAGTATGTCAGTAGAAATTTAGAAACTGATGTGAAATAATCGACGTGACGAGAGAATACTTTAACCACCCTCTACCCCGTGCCCCAATTTAAGCAGATGGTCTCAGCTGTTCGTGCGGTTCACCTGGTAGGATGACGTTCCTCCGACGTCTATAATTTACCAGTGCTTCTGATATGGGTTTGGTTGGCTAAAGGAGTAATAAAGCGCATTGAGAAACTATAAGTGGGATTTTGTATTTAACATTTAACTTTACATATACATTCGAAGATCGTTGTGTCGAACTTGGATGTGTCGAATTCCCGGTTGTCTTGAACTCACATAACGGTCCCCCCGAATTCCTTGCATATTTATCATCAAATATACTGGTCATATGTCATATTATATATTCGCGCACTTCACTCTTCTCTGGAAAGGAAAGTAGGAGGGCGTTAAAAAGACAGGAGTTACTGTTGCATTGTCCTTTATATCTACTTGGCTGGAATCCTGTAAAAACACACAGTTCCACAGTCACTAAGACATTTGCGTTCAGGCTGATATTCTACTTCCTCTGTTATTGATTTTCTGTACCGTAATACGATAAGCCGTTTTTATGACATATCACAATTTCATTTCCAAGTATTACGTTCACAGAAATATCCCGAACACAAAAAACTACTTTAGAAAATTAAACAAATATATTGAGACTGACCAAATAGAGTACCGCTAAGAAAAACCTGATCACGTGACAATCCCGTGTCTTCACTAGATATTGGCGGTGAACCCATATATTGAACTGTACATTTTTGATTTCATGATCTCGCCTCATCTCCGACCAGTTTAAATGTAGTTGAAACATTTGAAATGTCCATGTTGAACAAAGTTCAATTTGTCTTCAATTTGCCTCTTCATAAGACGTCGTTCTCTAAAACAGTCATTGTGACGTCATCACTTTATGTGTATACACAATCAACGGAGATTTAGCAATGCGCGAAAACTGTGCGCGTAAACCGATAACCGGAGGATATAAATAGCACCTTGGCGATTTGTTCACCTGTCCATGTATTGTGATATGTCGCAATATGATCTTGACCTTTGTAGGTATATGAGGTTTGGTAGCCCAGATACTCACTCACAGATATGTGTAGACACGGCTATGTTGGTTGTGGGTAATGGTGCTCAACATTGTTCTAATGTTGTTGACTGTATTGTTTAGTTGGGACCTTAATTACACTTCATATATTTACATGACGTTACAACCATCAAACTTTGTGAGAAAATCAGGACACAATATCAGTTCAAGATTTGGTACATCTTATTACCGTATAGTATAAAGCATATGTACAGTCAGTTTTGTGTGTAGGAATTGACAGCGTTGGCCATAAATATATATCAATATATATAGTACTTTTGTATTTTATTCGTGAGTGATTCGGGATTTACGCCGCTTTTAACAATATTCCCGCAACATTACCGCGGGGGACACAATTTTTGGGTTTCACACGTTGTACCCACGTGGGGAATCGAACCAGGGACTTTGGACAAGATGACTCTTTAACCTCTAGGATACCCCACCGCCCCTATATTGCACCGCGTGAAAGTTGCAGACATTTGTTTAGATGAAAAATTGGTATACATTTATATTGTTACTGAATGAGTATAAATAGCAACGACATAACCTGCCAATCACAATCACAAAAATGCACTATTCCGACAAAACACTAAGAAAGTGGTGATGCTACCTGGTGTTCGAGGAAAGGTGAACTCTCACATTTTAATATCAAGAATGTACATGTGGATTGATATAATCATGTAGCGATTGTTATCCTGGTCTCTGTTGAGTTATACAACACGTTAAAGTCACCACAACAGACGCAAATATTTATATTTAGATTGTTTGTGTTTTATCTAACTGTTGCAATATTCCGTTTAAGCTTTGACAGAAGAAGACGCTTTCAGCCAATGCCCCTCGACTATCCCAAGGAACCAGTACTTGCGGACATTCAGGAATAGGTGTTATGAGTTTGCCGTCTACCGGGAGACATACTGGCCAGTGGCAAAAGCTGAATGTCGGCGCAAGGGCGGCTTTCTTGTCACTGTTAATGATGCGGAAACCCAGGCCTTCCTCGTCAGCTCTCTGGTTGATTTGGACTTCGCCAACCACGGCATATGGATTGGCCTAAACGATCAGAAAACTGAGTCCAGTTATGAATGGGCCTCGGGTAACTTTCTTTTAGTAACATTCAAACTTCATTACAGTGATGCTAATTTGCGTTTGTCACGAAAGGCAGCTTTCCAGGAATATATTTCATTCAGTATCAAACATAAGTAAGTTTCATGAAAATGTGGGTGTATTAACGTTTAACCAGACTTTAATCGTATTTGTATACGTCGTCACGGTGCAGTGGGAACAGGGAGGTGGCAAAAGTGTTGTATGCTAGCCGTCAAAGCACGACGTCAGTTGACGTTATCCATTCACATTACCGATGCCCAAACCTTCTCTTTAGAACTCCTGTCAATGTTGCTGCATCATCCAAGTACCATATCCTTACTTTTCGTGACCGCCTCCGTGATCTAGGGGTAGAGCGTCCGCCCGGAGAGCGGAAGGTCGGGGTCTATCCCAAGCGGCGTCAAGCCAAGAGACGTTAAACGATGCCGCTTGTTGTTACCCTCCGCGCGCGGCATTATGGGACTAAAACAGGGACTGGTCTGCTCAGAGTCAGTATACTGTGTCTGAGTGGGGTATGCTAGGTGAACCAATTCATGTGGGTTAGCATCATGTAACCGGCATTATTCCGGACTTGAACAAGCATCAACCCACACGTACACAAACACACACATCTACGTACACAGACACAGACAGACACACACACAAACACGTACACACACACCCATACGTACACACACACGTTCACACACACGCGCGTACACACACACACAGACACTTGACATTTCATTTATTAATACTTGGCACATTATTTATCCATATACTGAACCGCAAAAGAAACGTCACCATGGATAGATATATGAGAAGCCTTATTTGACCAAACACTGTAAACATACTTTGAGACTGATTCAAAAGATGAAGTTTGGCAAAACTGATTATCAAGGTTGAAATTAAAGTGTCAAATGTTCTTAAAGTGAAACACAACACTAGTCTCTGAGAAAATGGCAGCACAAGTCAGTATCTCGGGTTCCGCCATGTGCATTGATTACTGCCGTGCAACGTCGATATATGGAATGGATGAAGTGGTTGATGAAGGCCACAGGCACTTCGGCTGCAGTTGTCGGCCTTGGTCGGACGTCATTCAGCCGTCTTTGAATCTCGCCTTATAGGTGCTCAATGGGATTTAAATCGGGACTGAGGGCAGGCCACTGCATGGTTCTGATGCCATTCTGCTGGAGAAATCTCCTGTTGCTCTCACAGTGTGGGTACGGGCGTTATCATGTTGCGGCGACGTGCCAAATGAGGTTTGGCGAGTGGTCTCAAGACTTGATCAATGTACCGAGCTGCTGTGACACCATTGTCTCTCGCTGGACCGATGTTCTGGGCCCTCTTCAAAAAGACCAATTCCACCCCATACCATGATGCTCGGACTACAACAACTCAAGCATCCGAATAAAGTTCCCCACGGCGTCGCCAGACTTTCCCTCTCTGCCATCTGCTGTTGAGATACAGTAACGGCTCTCATCTAAGAAGAGGACTCTTCTCCACTGCTGATGGCGCCAATGCTGGTGCTGTGTTGCCCACTGAAGACGGTCCCGGCAATGACGTGGTGTCAGAAAGGGTCCTAGGTGTGGCCTGTAACAGTGGAGGTGTCTGCTCGTCAATCATCGACGAACGGTGTCCGCACTAATGTGTCGCTGGTGTGTCCCCATGGTCTGCCGAGCAGTTTCCGCAGCAGTGACAAAGCGATCTTGAAGATGCTGTCGCACAATCTGACGATCCTGACGTCGGGTGGGGAACCTTGGTCTTCCACTACGTGGTCGGTCATCTCTAGTGTTGGTGGTCTGGTACCGTTGCTTCAGCCTGTATATGGTCCTTACGTGGACATTTAAAATGCATTGGCTACTTGCCGGACGGTTTGTCCAGCTTGCAATCGTCCAAGGGCTTGGTGTCGCCGATTTCTTGTCAATTTTGGCATGTGGTAGCACTTCAATAACGAATAAATGGTATCTGATCTGGGTGGATTTTTAAAAACCAAGAAATGGGGGAGCGCATGTGCTTTTCCATTTGCACGGAACTCACGTGCATCGGGTTACCATGGCCGTTGCCGTGATACGTTTGGGCGATCGGTTTAATTGTCATCTGCTTTGTTTTTTTATCATCAAATTTCATTTTTCCGGACAAAGTAATGTTAATTTTTAGAAACTTTGAAAAAAAATACCCAGATATTTGAATGACAACTTTTCATGCAATTTTAGCATGAGGTGACATTTTTTTTTGCGGTTCAGTATACTTGACATGTTATTTAGCAATCATTTCATAATTGACATATTAATCATTAATACTTGACAGATGATTTATTAATGTATGACATATTATATATTAAGACTTAACATATTATTAATTAATATTTGACACAATATTTATTAACACATGACACACTATTTAGTAATACTTGACATATCATTTTGTAATGCTTGAAATATTATTTAGTAATACTTCACATATTATTTAGTCATATTATTTTATTGATACTTGACATATTATTTAGTAATACTTGATATATTATTAAGTAATACTAGACATATTATTTAGTAATGCTTGACATATTATTTAGCCATACTAGACATATTATTTAGTAATACTTGTCATATTATTCAGTAATACTTGACATATCTAGTAATACTTGACATATTATTTAGCCATACTAGACAAATTATTTAGTAATACTTGACATATTTAGTAATACTTGACATATTATTTAGTAATACTAGACATATTATTCAGTAATACTTGACATATTATTTAGTAATACTAGACATATTGCTTGAATGTCAGGTGATATCGTCACGTTTACCGACTGGGCAAGCGGGGAGCCAAACTTCGCTCACGGCATGGAGGATTGCGTGGTGATGAAGAGCACCAAAGCGTATGCGTGGGAGAACCACCCCTGTCATCTGTCGCCCCAACACTATTCCTACATCTGTGAATACGGTAAGTCCCCACACTGTACGGGCCGTCAAATATACAACGTTGATATTAAAACATACAAACAAACATAGGCTTTAAGAACTGGGGCTAACCAATTGTGTGCACTTGTGATACTTCCAATGATACATTTGCTATTGTTGTAGAATGAGTTTTTCACTTTGATGGTATGGCATCAACTGTTTTTTCCTCACAGGACGAATTCCTCTTGTTCTGGGACACCATCTGTCATTACCCCCTGCTATAATAAACAGGCAGACCGGTTCTTCAATAACGAGGGGTTTTTCGATTCCAAACATGGGTACACTGCATGGAGCAATATTTCATGTATTGGTCGCCCTGATATTGTTGGAATATTGCTAAGGGCGGGGTAACACTCACTCACTCACTCACTCACTCACTCACTCACTCACTCACTCACTCACTCACTCACTCACCCACCCACCCACCCACCCACTCACTCACTCACTCACTCACTCACTTGGTAACATAATCCGTTTCAACAGAGAAGTCCACAACAGCACCCGCAACAACAGCACCCGCAACAACAGCACCCGAGGCAACAACGTCTTCGGGACAATCTACAATGGTTTCACAGCAGTAGATCTGGTACGAAAGTATATATGCCATACATATTTCATCCCCTGAGGTGAGTCAAGGTTCGAAATGGGACTTCACCTTATGGTCGTCGTTCTCGATGACGGGTGATTGCGTTAGAAGTCTTGCCATCATACCCCGACGGCGCGGAACTTTGCTCATTCACTGGATTATCTGGTTCAGACTCCATTATTTTTGGGATGTAGCGGGGATATTGGCGTGCGCGACGTTAAACAAGCAAAACAAAAATATTTCTTACCAATCTAAGCTCATTTTAAATTCTTGATTCCTATAGTTAACTTAAATCTCCAAAAATAGTATTGATAACAACACTTATAAATAATATATATTTTTTCGGAGTATATAATTTTGATATGTTTTTTTATCATGATATAAAATGATAGTGATATATTAAAAGCGATGAAATGGATCTAGTGGACAGGCTCGATGGCTTTGTTTGATTGTCTGTCCTCGAAACGTGACGGCGTGTCACGCTGCTCACACTATCAATCACTGGATTGTCTAATCCGAATTCGATTATGAAAGACCGACGTCATATGGATGGAACATGTTGCTGATTGAGGCGTAAAACTAGCAACACAAAAATACAGTGCCTAAAATTAATATAACATATATTATTATTGCTATTATTATTACTCATCACTGCCTTGTGCTTTTTTTTCAGAGAGAAAATTTGGTGATTGATGAATTCCAACGATGCCGGATTTCCAAATGAGATAAGATTGACTGCATGTAAATAAATCATCGATGATGTTAGGTGATGAAAGTCTCGGTTAAATTTCTTACTGATTGTCCTGTTTTCACGGTGGCCCAGCCAGCTAAGGAGAGTTGCGTCCCTTGGGCACTCCAAAAATTAAGATTGTGTTCGAATCCCGGTTCGTCCCAATCATGCTCGTGGGTTTCACCAAGGCGGTAAAACGCCTGGAACATGCATCACTTCGGGCTTCCCTCCCACATTAAGCTGACACGCCGTCAATATAATTGAAGTAATGTAAATAACTCACTCACTCCTTCCTGTTCTCACAGTGACATTAACGGAGGTACATGCTCAACACAAATAGTCGCCCATCCATTCAGCCGCCGGCTTATATATTCAATTTTAGCCAGCAATTAAAGCAAACAAATATTCTACGAATAAAATGGCTTACTTTACTTTGCATGATGTGGAACTTATGTACCCCCTTATGGGGATAAAAATCAAAGATGATTATAAATAGAATACGAAAAACATAGTGACCTACCATTAGTACCTTACACTGTCATTACTTGTTGATATGCATAAGTTTTCAAATGGCACAACCACTACATGCACAGACTTAAATATATGTAGAAAAAAGGCAACTTAGTGAAAATAGCAAACATAATTAACGAAAGTCCTTTTGCGTGACCTTGATCTTTCACATCGGTCGTTTAAGTTTCCTAGAACTTCATTAAAACCCTTCTGGATTTGGCTTATAGACCTTTTCTCAGACTATGACCTTGAGGTTGATTCATGTGCCCAAAACAAATGCCATAGCCATAAATAAGACATGATATGATGTATACACGATATGATATCTCTCAGATCTCAATGCACCGCTCAGTTTCAATGCATTATGTTACATGTTGCTCAAAGAAATTAGGTTACCGTGACTTACTTCTGATAACATAGTACCATCACTTGCAATGCAATGACTGCCTCCGTGGTCTGGCAGGAGAGCGTCCGCCCGGAGAGCGGAAGGTCCGGGGTTCGATACCAAAAGACGTTTGTGGAAGGTACTTGTTGTCAAAGTGACCAAACCCTGTTCCCCCCACCCCATCCCCCTTAAACTGTCATAGTGACCACACCCTGATTCTCAACCCCTCTGAATTGTCATGGCAATGACGCCCTGATTCCTGGCCCCGGGAGACCGCCTCCGTGGTCTAGTGGTAGAGCGTCCGTCCGCGCATGTACGTCGTCCCTCTGATGTGCAGGGATTGTCGCCAGAAGACCAACCAGACGTCCCATTTTGACAGAAAACCACCGTCAAGCACGTCGAGTGGTGCAGACAGCGTCTACGCTGGAAGGCCATGCAGTGGGGACACATTTTATTCACTGACGAGTCTCGTTTTCACCTCAGCCACAGCGATGGACGGATTCGAGTGTACCGACGTCGAGGTGAACGTTACGTCAATCATTGTGTCATGAAAGAAGATCGGTTCGGGGGCGGCAGCGTTATGGTATGGGGTGGGATTACAGCAAGACAGAGAACCCATTTGATAGTGGTAAAGGGAAATCTCAATGGACAGCGCTACCGCGACGAGATCCTCGGCCCTGTTGTGCTACCGTTTTGCGTCGTCATGGGCTAGGCATTACCTTTCAACATAACAACGCCCGGCCTCATATTGCTCGACTAGTCCAGGATTCTCTTCAACAAAACAACGTGAATGTCATCCCCTGGCCGGCTCGCTCCCCTGATCTCTCACCAATCGAGCACATGTGGGATGAGTTGGATCGGCGCCTTCGACGTCAATCACATGTTCCACACACACTCCAGGAACTTCGAAACATGCTCCAACAGATATTGACAGATATACCACAGCACTTTGTGCGACGCCTGGTCCATTCCATGAGACGAAGATGTGTTATTGCATCGCAACCAGAGGTGGACACACACGCTATTGATTTGTAAATTGACATTTTGGCATATTCATGATTTTTTTTATGAGATCACGCATTTTATGAAGTCAGTATGGCAAATAAAACCATTTGAACACTTACAGGAGTCTTTTATCTGTTGCAAGCCGAAATTGTTTCAGATCTGGTAAAAAACATAACTTTGCATTTAATCTTATTCAATGTCACAGGAACTTTTGTTGTTCAGTATATAAGAGTACTTGTACCTGACCGTTGGAATAGAATGACCCAGACAACACAAAATCAATAATCACAAGATTTTTAAGAGCATCTTTATGTGTTAAATAATTCACAATACAGAATATATAAATTTTACATATAAATTGTAGAGTAGGGTAGTGGTGTACAAAGTTGAAAATTAAAATGTTTTAATAAAATTGATCTTGAACTTTGACTCACATTTCATAATATTACTGGGTACAACTACAAACTTTCCATATGGGGCAGCCACACAGATGCTTATATTTTTTAGATATGAATATTAATTCATGTAATATTATAATCCACATATGTAGCTCTGGAGCATGGACTTTGGCATTTCAGCAAGCATGTGCGAATGAAGTTTTGTTTCCCTAGATAGTACCAGATCACAACGTTACACATATCTAGTGTAGAGCACTGTTTGCACTGATACGTCTAACTTTACTTCAGCTATATTTGGATTTTGTCCTGGATTGTGGTCCGTATAGCCTCCAACAAACGTGCCATTGATAAATACCTGAAATATAAGAAAATATTAATAATGCCATTTGTGACATCAAGAATGTTGGGTCGATAGTTAGATGGGTGCATAAATATTTCATTGACACAGTATAATGTCTTATTGATATAATGCACCCACGCAGCCATTTTATCTGAAGGAAATGTTCGATCAATATTTTCGTGAGTTGAGTGTTTAGCATCCAAACAATCATACAAAGCAATACAACAAATACAAAGCAATACAACAAATGCAAACACTAGAAAGCAATACAAAACAACAATTTTTAAATTTGCAGTTTCCGCGATACACGGCTTTTCCATTGGTAGGGAGACGTCCATACGTTTTTCACGAGACTGTATTCTTTATAATGATTTAAATTCTGACGGACTTCTTCAACATTCCGGGGAAACCCATGGGAATCCCCTATCACGAATCCATATAAAAGCGTTCTTTCTGCTCATATTGACCCTTTAAAATTGACCTCAGAGAGCTTGACTTGACCCTCACCACGACCCACACTAGTGAGCAGAACGTAGAAATGCACATCCACTGTCGTATTGACTCGATCCATGTCTAGACTGACTGTCACAGTCAACCGCAATCTATGACTTAGTATTTTTGACACATGTTTATAATCACCTTTAAATGAACAGATAGTCGATCTGAGATGACTTACACATGTAACCGCCACAGGTTCATTAACAACTTCGGATATCTCTTCCGTCACGGTTATCGTGTCGGCCATATTGACGTCTTGTTCTTGATGTAAATGTATTACGACGCGCTGTCATTGTGACTGACTTAATGAGGTAGTTCTTAACAAACCTATCTCACCTGATGATGATATAACTTGAAAACACGCTTTGTACACAAACTACAACCATGGTTCCTGTAAAGCAAGTTGAGCATACAGACGCTCATGGCACCTCTCTTTTTGAGGCACTATCTTATTCCACTATACAGCTGGTTGTTGTATGACTGTCAGTGTTAACATGAAGTCACACGCAGATATCTAGCGCTACATCCCTCGAGATATAAAACAGTTACGTTTATACAGTTTGACCCTGACTCCATAAAGGTGCAAACGACAATGAACGCACACAAAAACTAAATTCTTAAACAAAACAATACAAAGCAATACAAAAGAATATAAAACATAAAAAAATAAAACAAATAAATACAAGCATTTCAAAAGTGAAATATTCTTAAGAAATTTAAAACGTATTCGAGTTCAGGAGATGTTTGTGTTATCTTTTAATGAAAACATTCAGTCACCTAACTAAAAAAGCATTGCAGCTTAACACGTGATCTGAGTCTATGCGGATCTGAAGAATGAATCTGTGAATGAATGTTGTTTAACGCCACAGTCAGTAAGTATATATCTATATCACGCCAGCTTGTAAATAATAGTCAGGGTCAGGCAATCCAGTGATGAAAGTATGGCAACCGATTAACGCCATCGGGGCACGGAACCTCGCAAGAAATCGATGTCAACGTAATGTGTCTGGCTATTTGATTACCATGAGATAGTTAGGCTCTGTTTTTCTTTAAATCCCTACGGGGTGAGAAGGGTACTGATAGGGTAAGTACGCATACTATGCCAGTCTGTTGTAATACCTGGTAATCTGTGTCAGTGTGAACCAAATCCATCGTGAAGGTCTGGCCAGTAATGAACGGGAACTCATTGATAAAAGACGCTGGAATAGTGCTGTCGCCAGTTGAGAGGACAATTTTCCGAATGGAGTTCCCGGAGTTGAAGCGAGCGTCGACCTGGAGGAGTAGCGCAGTGTCCTGCTTCAGATTAATTGCAAATCTGAAATTTGGTAGATTATATTTAGGACATAAAGAGTATCATCCCTTGGACTTGGAGTTTATGAAAATTCGAAATTATGAAACCCTCTGCTAAAGCTGGAGGTCGATATCCGGAGTTGACAGTCAGTTTATAGTGGCTGTGGATCGAATACTAAATAACACCTCCTAAGACATAATTATAAATATTACTTAGACGTTATTGTTCATTTTCCACAGTCTACTTCTTCATTGTGTAATAACGTTGTTGTGACATCGACATGATATCACTCTGCATTGCCAGGGGGGCACGGGTGGCCCAGTCGTCTAAGGCGCCGCGATTCGCTGTGCAGAGTTGCGTCCCTTGGGCACGCCAGAAACCTATGATTGTGGGTTCGAATCCCGGTTCGCCCCTATTATGTTTCTAGGTTTGTCAGCAACATACCCGTGCTCGTGGGTTTCACCGAAGTGGTAAACGTCTGAGACCTGTATCACTTCGGGATTTCCTCCCACATTAAGCTTACACGCCGTGATATAACTGGAATACTGTTAAAAGCGTTGTTAAAACCCAACTCACTCACTCACTCACTCTGCAGTGCCATGGTGTGACGATTGTAGACGACTTCTCTCAACTGCACGGCGCACGGCGCCATTTTAACAACTGTGGCACCTTCCCACAGACTCTGGTTCGCAGACAGGGTATTCTCTGACAATGACGTTTTTTATAATTGTGTAAGGTGTGTAATTAAGACAAAATGCATATTACCTAGTAACTACATGTGTGGTGCCAGTATTGAGAGGCCCCAGTTTATTCAGTCCTTTTGATTTTTGTCAAATGAAACGTGTTTGCAGCGTCGATACGGAAAATAGACACGTGGAACACCTGGAGCATACTTACCGTGTTTCCGCGAGAGGTGTCCCGACAATTCTTAGATTGTATTTATCTGTGAACTCGCAAGGTAGGGGCTCAATAAACGGAACTTCCTGGAAACGGAATGGACACAGTTACCATGGTTACATGTGTTTGATTTTCAATTAAAAATAGTTTAAGTTCGCGATATTATATCCGGGAAATAGCTGCTCTGGCGTTTCGTCAGCACTCAAAGAATACTTCTTCATGGTTTTATTATTTTTAAATATAATTTGATTTAATATTTTAAAAATTCTTAACGATAATAATACACTACTGCTGTTAAATGTTAAACATCTTATCTTTTTTAAAATTTGTAAATTTATATTTTTCTGCACACATTTACAACATTTCAAACAGGGTATCAGGGTATGTGTCATGTGGTTGCAAATGCAATACCCAAAACTGGCTCCCACGGGTGATGTTGCCGGTTTGACCCGATTATGTGTCAATGTCCGTCAGAGCCATACCCGTGCTCATGGGTCTCACCCAACGTCTGAGACCTGCAGAATTTCGGGGTTTTTTGTCCTCCCACACGAAGCTGACACGCCGTGGTATCCGTGGAATACTGTTTAAAGCGGCCTCAAAACCAAATCACTCGCTCCAATTAACCGGCCAATTGACATGGCCAACGGGTAATGCGAGGACAGGGGCGGTCGGGTAGCCTAGTGGTTAAAGGGTTCACTCGTCACGCCGAAGACCCGGGTGTGATTCTCTACATGGGTACAATGTGTGAAGCCCATTTCTGGTGTCCGTGATATTATTGGAATATTGCTAAAATGGCGTAAAACCATACTCACTCACTACATTAACGGAAGGTGTAGGTAGTTTTCGCCATATATCAAATATCAATATTGTTGCAAAAGTTGAAATAATTGTGTTTGAATGTTTTTAAAGTTATTATAGTATCAGTAAAAATATCCATAATTTAAATAATTTACCACCTCGTAAGCTCAGTCGCCTCGTACGACAAACAGGGGCTGCTTCGGACCTGTATTTTAACCCCGAATCCTCTTCGGGTATATAGAATGAACTGAGTGAGTGAGTGAGTATGGTTTTACGCCGCGTTTTGCAATATTCCAGCAATATCACGGCGGGGGACACTAAATGGGCTTCACACGTTGTACCCATGTCGGGAATCGAACCCGGGTCTTCGGCGTGACGAGCGAACGCTTTAACCACCAGGCTACCCGACCGCCCCCATAATTGTCAGAAGGCGGCGATGGACAACAGTAATGACCCCGCGATCCATCACTGGCAGGGGGGCTGTATTTAGGCTTCACAGCTGCATTCACATGTGGATACGTCATGCTTTGTTTGTTTGTTGTTTAACGCCGCACTCAGCAACATTCTAGCTCTTTAACCGCGGTCTGTAAAAATTCGAGTCTGGACCAGACAATCCAGTGATTTATATTAACGATACACATGTCCAATGAGACGCTGTCATCAAGCAGCCGAGCGTGACCAGCTCTCTATTTAACGCCCATTGCGACAAATATAGGTTCCGACGACCAATTCTTTCAATTTAATAACTGCTTCCAAATAACACAATTAATTTTCAATGCGTATTTCATTCACTCAAGCGGATTATCCGATCATGAGCTGGTACCACTTTACTTACAGGATCTGTCCAAACTGTCCTGCCACACGTGCCCACTGTACCATTCCATTGACCGGAAGTGTCACATCGTAGCTGGTGGCCAGTTCCGCAGAACATATGGTTGGGCTTGCAAATGTAAGACGCTGACGCTCCAACATGGTAACCAGCTACTGTCAACACTGCATTGTCCAGATAGGGTGGATTTTCACATTCTGTAAAACAAAGTTATAGTTATCACACACCACATACACTGGAAACAAACATCACCTAAACACAATTGATACAAAAACATATGAAACCCCATCCCGTCGGGTTAAGCTACCCGCAATTATACGGCCTCTTCTAACCTGGGTCTCTTCGCGAAAGCGTTGTTTAGTCAACCGTATTATATCAATAAATAATCATAATCAAATGGCTAAACATTTGAGCAGTTGGCTGGTTCGTCAGACAATACAGGACCAGGCAATCCAGTGATTAACATCATGAGCATTGACACTTAAACTTATGACAGTAGAAACAACAGCTGAAGGTCGTCAATGTTTTGATCGTTCTTCTTAACTGCATCAGTAAAATGTTCATGATAGTGTCACGTGTACGAGGTATTTTTGCGCATACAAACTATTAATTCTAAAACGTTCCACATCCTGAAAATCAATGCACGTCTATAAGACACTGGCGCACACGTGTCTGCATACAAGAACACCCACACTCACGGGCATACTACCCACAGTCAGATGCACACGTCCATAAACATTGACAGACACATATGACCATGGAACATTATCCACTGGCAAACATAAGCATATGTACACTGACATACAACTGTAAACACATGCGTATATGAGTAAACAGCAATAGGCACAGAGACCCGTGAAGATCCGGGGTAGAACAGGTCTTCAGCAACCCATGCTTGCCCTAAGAGGCGACTACGCTTGTCGTAAACGGCGACTAATGGGATCGTGTGGCTGCTTGGTTGATGCATGTCATCGTATCCCAGTTGTGTAGATCGATGCTCATGATGTTAATCACTGGACTGTCTGGTCCAGACTCGATTATTTACTTGACCGCCGTCATATAGCTGGAATATTGCTGAGTGCGGCGTTAAAATACAAACAAACCAACAAAACATTTATGGCTTATGCATTTGGATATTACCGTGTATGCAGGAAGCTTGGTTCAGTCTGTTAACTCTGCAGACCGAGAGCTCCGGACACATGAGGGTTGCACAGGGGCCTGCAACGTCCTGCAAACACAAAACAAATAATGTTGAAAACTTACAATATAACCTTATGTAATATCTACACCTGAAGTTGTGCTGCTGTACAGGGAATATACACCTGCAATGATGCTACTGTATGGGAAATATTCACCTGCAGTTGTGCTGCTATATATACGAGGAAATATACACCTGCAGTAGTGCCGCTATACGGGAGAATATACACCTTCAGTGGTGCTGCTATACGGGAGAATATACACCTGCAGTGGTGCCGCTATACGGGAGAATATACACCTGCAGTGGTGCCACTATACGGGAAAATATACACTTGCAGTCGTGCCGCTATACGGGAAAATATACACCTGCAGTGCTGCCGCTATACGGGAGAATATACACATGCAGTGGCGCCACTATACGGGAGAATATACACTTGCAGTGGTGCCGCAATACGGGAGAATATACACCTGCAGTGGTGCCGCTATACGGGAGAATATACACCTGCAGTGGTGCCGCAATACGGGAGAATATACACTTGCAGTGGTGCCGCAATACGGGAGAATATACACTTGCAGTGGTGCCGCAATACGGGAGAATATACACCTGCAGCGGTGCCGCTATACGGGGACATACACACCTGCAGTGGTGCCGCTATACAGGGAAATATACACCTGCAGTGGTGCCACTATACGGGGAAATAGACACCTGCAGTGGTGCCGCTATACAGGAAATACACACCTGCAGTGGCGCCTGTATACGGGGAAATACACACCTGCAGTGGTGCCGCTATACCGGAAATACACACCTGCAGTGGCGCCACTATACGGGGAAATACACACCTGCAGTGGTGCCGCTATACAGGAAATACACACCTGCAGTGGCGCCACTATACGGGGAAATACACACCTGCAGTGGTGCCGCTATACAGGAAATACACACCTGCAGTGGCGCCACTATACGGGGAATACACACCTGCAGTGGTGCCGCTATACAGGAAATACACACCTGCAGTGGTGCCGTTATACAGGAAATATACACCTACAGTAGTGCTGCTATACAGGAAATACACACCTGCAGTAGTGCTGCTATACAGGAAATACACACCTGCAGTAGTGCCGCTATACAGGAAATAAACACCTGCAGTAGTGCTGCTATACAGGAAATATACACCTGCAGTTGTGCTGCTATACAGGACATACACACATGCAATAGTGCTGCTATACAGGAAATACACATCTGCAGTAGTGCTGCTATACAGGAAATATACACCTGCAGTAGTGCTGCTATACAGGACATACACACCTGCAGTAGTGCTGCTATACAGGAAATACACACCTGCAGTAGTGCCGCTATACAGGAAATATACACCTGCAGTAATGCTGCTATACAGGAAATATACACCTGCAGTAGTGCTGCTATACAGGAAATACACACCTACAGTAGTGCTGCTATACAGGAAATACACACCTGCAGTAGTGCTGCTATACAGGAAATACACACCTACAGTAGTGCTGCTAGACAGGAAATATACACCTGCAGTAGTGCTGCTAGACAGGAAATACACACCTGCAGTAGTGCTGCTATACAGGAAATATACACCTGCAGTAGTGCTGCTATACAGGAAATACACACCTGCAGTAGTGCTGCTATACAGGAAATACACACCTACAGTAGTGCTGCTAGACAGGAAATATACACCTGCAGTAGTGCTGCTATACAGGAAATACACACCTGCAGTGGCGCCACTATACGGGGAAATACACACCTGCAGTGGTGCCGCTATACAGGAAATACACACCTGCAGTGGCGCCACTATACGGGGAATACACACCTGCAGTGGTGCCGCTATACAGGAAATACACACCTGCAGTGGTGCCGTTATACAGGAAATATACACCTACAGTAGTGCTGCTATACAGGAAATACACACCTGCAGTAGTGCTGCTATACAGGAAATACACAACTGCAGTAGTGCCGCTATACAGGAAATAAACACCTGCAGTAGTGCTGCTATACAGGAAATATACACCTGCAGTTGTGCTGCTATACAGGACATACACACATGCAATAGTGCTGCTATACAGGAAATACACATCTGCAGTAGTGCTGCTATACAGGAAATATACACCTGCAGTAGTGCTGCTATACAGGAAATACACACCTGCAGTAGTGCTGCTAGACAGGAAATATACACCTGCAGTAGTGCTGCTATACAGGAAATACACACCTGCAGTAGTGCTGCTATACAGGAAATACACACCTACAGTAGTGCTGCTATACAGGAAATACACACCTGCAGTAGTGCTGCTATACAGGAAATACACACCTGCAGTAGTGCTGCTATACAGGAAATACACACCTGCAGTAGTGCTGCTAGACAGGAAATACACACCTGCAGTAGTGCTGCTAGACAGGAAATACACACCTGCAGTAGTGCTGCTATACAGGAAATACACACCTGCAGTAGTGCTGCTATACAGGAAATACACACCTGCAGTAGTGCTGCTAGACAGGAAATATACACCTGCAGTAGTGCTGCTATACAGGAAATATACACCTACAGTAGTGCTGCTTTACAGGAAATACACACCTACAGTAGTGCTGCTAGACAGGAAATATACACCTGCAGTAGTGCTGCTATACAGGAAATACACACCTGCAGTAGTGCTGCTATACAGGAAATACACACCTGCAGTAGTGCTGCTATACAGGAAATACACACCTGCAGTAGTGCTGCTAGACAGGAAATACACACCTGCAGTAGTGCTGCTATACAGGAAATACACACCTGCAGTAGTGCTGCTAGACAGGAAATACACACCTGCAGTAGTGCTGCTAGACAGGAAATACACACCTGCAGTAGTGCTGCTATACAGGAAATACACACCTGCAGTAGTGCTGCTATATAGGAAATACACACCTACAGTAGTGCTGCTATACAGGAAATACACACCTACAGTAGTGCTGCTAGACAGGAAATATACACCTGCAGTAGTGCTGCTATACAGGAAATACACACCTACAGTAGTGCTGCTATACAGGAAATACACACCTGCAGTAGTGCTGCTAGACAGGGACACCCAGTAGTGTGGATTGATTTGTCGATTGTTTAGGTAATCAGATAAAAATGGAATATTTGAAGACAATGCAGTGGACATCTTGCGTCTTGTTCTCTTATTCGATTTCAAATCGATGCCCTATGTAAGCAGACGCTATATCGACCATTGTTCAAACAGAATCTCTTTGATATCCTTTTTTCGTTTCTGCTGAGATCGTTAAACAGTGACCATTTGTTTACAGGAATTTGTGTGAACCCTTTTCGTGACATACTTTTTTCCATAAAGTATGAAAATAAGCAGACAATATACCCTGAAAATAATTACATAATGACACTGTTCCATGTTCTCTTTCATAACTGACGACAGAAGCAGTTTGAAGTGTGAGGTAAATATGTTTATCCATTTCGTAAATGTTTATAATGTGAAAGATACACACTCTAACATGTGCTTGGGAGGAGACACGTGGTACTAATACAAGGATTGTACAAATGTTATGACATGGACATTTATAAGCTGTGCACGACTAAACACATCAACTACGTCGGCGGGCAAGTGCATCTGTCATGAGTGACGAGTAAAACAAAGCACAGCTTGATATCTCGAGACAATTCGTCACGTCATTGCATCATGTGTTTGTAAAGAAGTACGCTCACGTCACATCGTTGTATCATGTTCTTGTAAAGAAGTACGCGCACGTGACATCATTGTATCATGTACTTGTAAAGAAGTACGCCCGAGGCACATCATTGTATCTTGTGTTAATAAAGAAGTACGCGCACGTGACATCATTGTATCATGTCCTTGTAAAGAAGTACGCCCACGTCACATCATTGTATCTTGTGCTCATAAAGAAGTACGCGCACGTGACATCATTGTATCATGTGCTCATAAAGAAGTACGCACGCGTGACATCATTGTATCATGTGCTTGTAAAGAAGTACGTGCACGTGACATCATTGTATCTTGTACTTGTAAAGAAGTACGCGCACGTGACATCGTTGTATCTTGTGCTCATAAAGAAGTACGCGCACGTCACATAATTGTATCTTTTGCTCATTAAGGAGTACGCGCACGTGACATCATTGTATCATGTGCTTGTATTGAAGTACGCTCAGGTCACATCGTTGTATCATGTACTTGTAAAGAAGTACGCTCACGTCACATTATTGTATCATGTGCTTGTAAAGAAGTACGCGCACGTGACATCATTGTATCATGTGCTTGTAAAGAAGTACGCCCACGTCACATAATTGTATCTTTTGCTCATAAAGAAGTACGCGCACGTGACATCATTGTATCATGTGCTTCTATTGAAGTACGCTCAGGTCATATCGTTGTATCATGTTCTTGTTAAGAAATACGCTCACATCACATCGTTGCATCATGTGCTTGTGAAGAAGTACGCTCACGTCACATCGTTGTATCATGTTTGTAAAGAAGTATGCTCAAGTCACATCATTGCATCATGTACTTGTTAAGAAATAAGCTCTTGTTACGTCATTGTATCATGTGCTTGTAAAAAAGTACGCTCACGTCACATCGTCATATCTAATGCTTGTAAAGAAGTACGCTCACGTCAAATTGTATCATGTACTCGTTAAGAAGTACGCACATGTCACATCATTGTATTATGTGCTTGTAAAGAAGTACGCTCACATGACAGCATTGTATCATGTGCTTGTAAAGAAGTACGCTCACGTCACATCGTTGTATCATGTGCTTGTAAAGAAGTACGCTCACGTCACATCGTTGTATCATGTGCTTGTGAAGAAGTACGCTCACGTCACATCGTTGTATCATGTGCTCGTAAAGAAGTATGTTCAAGTCACATCATTGTATCATGTGCTTATAAAGAAGTACGCTCACGTCATATCATTGTGTCATGTGCTTGTAAAGAAGTACGCTCACGTAGCATCATTGTATCATGTGCTTGTAAAGAAGTACGCTCACGTCACATTGTTGTATCATGTGCTTGTTAAGAAGTACGCTCACGTTATATCATTGTGTCATGTGCTTGTAAAGAAGTACGCTCACGTAGCATCATTGTATCATTTGCTCATAAAGAGGAACGCGCACGTCACATCATTGTATCATGTTCTTATAAAGAACTACGCACTCGTTCATCGTGGGGGCAGAATTTGTCTTGTTAGACGAGGCGACACAATTCGGTGTGCACAGTAACGTCTCTTGTCTGTGTGTGGATCCGCTTCTTGTAAGTTCGATTTGCAATGATTATGATTATAGTTTGTATTATTCAGGTGACCTTCAACCCCACTGACTTTAAATAAAGTATGAACAGCCTTTATGCATTGGTCAAAGAAGAAGAAATCTTCGAATACAACTGGAGTGTGGATTAAAAACTCTGAGTAATGAAACTGATTAACCATTTTACCTTCTGAGGGACCGCCTCCGTGATCTAATGGTAGAGCGTCCGCCCGGAGAGCGGAAGGTCCGGGGTTCGATCCCCGGCCGCGTCATACCAAAAGACGTTAAAAGATGGTACTTGTTGTTACCCTGTCTGGCGCTCGGCATTAAGGGGCTAAAACAAGGACTGGTCGGCTCGGAGTCAGTATACTGTGTCTGAGTGGGGTATTCATGTTAAACTGCCGCATGGTATCTCAGTGAGCTAGCACTATAAATCGGCATCAGTCCATACTAGTACAAGCAGCCACACACACACATGCATGCACGTCGCTATATAAGTGCAATAATCTTGGACGCGACATTAAACCCAATTTCACCTCACCTCACCTTCTGAGACCAAAATGCAAATTCTTCCAAATACGTTCTATTTTGATAAATGGATAAACATATACAAGTGTGAGCGTTTCCACACACGATTGTGGTAGTTGCATGGAACGGCAAGTTGAGTGAGTGAGTGAGTGAGTTTTGTTTTACGCCGCTTTTAGCAATATTCCAGCAATATCACGGCGGGGGACACCAGAAACGGGCTTCACACATTGTACCCATGTCGGGAATCGAACCCGGGTCTACCCGACCACCCCGGCAAGTTGAGTGAACCAACACGGGAACACATGGTACAGGTCAGTACAGGGGGTTTCATCAGACGTTTTGGTCAATAAATGTACTAAAAATCTACCTGTGCGTTTCTTTTATTTTTGGAGAGTGTATTGTTCAAAACGGCGTTAAACCAATCTCACTCACTATAAAAGACAAATGGAAATCTCAAGATCCGCCGGCCTTCGTTTCAAGGTGCGCTGGCAACACTTATTGATTATCGTATTATGCTCACAACTAAAATTAACGGTGATCATATAAAGTATTGATTGTTGAAAACTAATACTTATGATGATATTGACCAGTTGGCTCTCCAGATTGATAGGTCTCCTGACACAACAAACACCTGTCTAGAGGGTTTGTGACTTAAGGTCGTTTAAATGTAATTTTGGGGTATACAGAGAATCAAACATATGTATGTCACATTTGCTTTCCATTTCAAACTGCTATACATCTCTATACAACTGCTATACATCTCTATACAACTGCTATACATCACAATAACACATTAAAGAACTCGATAACACATGTAAAGAATACAAAACACAATAACACGTGTAAAGAACACAATAAGACGTGTGAAGAATACAATATCACGCTTAAAGAATACAATAACACGTGTAAAGAACACAATACCACATGTAAACAACATAATAAGACGTGCAAAGAACACAATACCACATTTAAAGAACACAATAACACATGTAAAGAACACAATACCACGTGTAAAGAACACAATAAGACCTCTATAGAACTCAAAAACACGTTTAAAGAACAGGATAACGCGTCTAAAGAACACAAAAACATGAGTAAAGAACACAATGACACGCGTAAAGAGCACAATAACACGTCTTAGGAACTCAAAACCACGTTTAAGGAACACAATAACACGTGTAAAGAACACAATAACACATGTAAAGAACACAATTACACATGTAAAGAACAAAATAACACGTGTAAAGAACACAATTACACATGTAAAGAACACAATAACACATGTAAAGAACACAATTACACATGTAAAGAACACAATAACACGTGTAAAGAACACAATTACACATGTAAAGAACACAATAACACGTGTAAAGAACACAATAACACATGTAAAGAACACAATAAAACGTGTAAAGAACACAATTACACATGTAAAGAACACAATAAAACGTGTAAAGAACACAATTACACATGTAAAGAACACAATAACACGTGTAAAGAACACAATTACACATGTAAAGAACACAATAACACGTGTAAAGAACACAATAACACATGTAAAGAACACAATAACACGTGTAAAGAACACAATTACACATGTAAAGAACACAATAACACGTGTAAAGAACACAATTACACATGTAAAGAACACAATAACACGTGTAAAAAACACAATTACGCATGTAAAGAACACAATTACACGTGCAAAGAACACAATTACACATGTAAAGCGTATGAACACAACAACACATGTAAGTTTAATTTAATTTAATTTAGAAAGATGGTTTTAAAGATCACAGTGCATGAATATCAGAAACCAGCGAGTTAAAATGATAAAACCTGTTACTCACGTTAGGCCATTGATCCACGTACATGCACCCCTCTGTGGGACCACCTTCGGCCGAAGAGGGCGTTGTTTCCCTTATCAGTTCGCACATTCTGGTCTTCAAGCAATAGTTGAATGATGTGCACTTTGACGTTGATGTACATTCAGCTGCGCAAGGGTATAGCCCAGTCATGTGAACCTTCTTGAACGCGTGCAGCCCGACACCTGTAGGGAGGACCATGCTGCCAATGTCAGCACACAGTGAGGCCGTTATAACATCAACACTCAAACCACAGGTGACAAGGAACAGAGCCGACATGACGCCTTGCTCGCTGTAATTCACACAGTGAGTGACGACAACGGTGTGGGGAACGTCTATTGTAAGCATACGCGTCCAATGATTGATTTCAGAAATTATTTCCTCTACACTTCACTTACATCAAATGTTTATCAGTAATGTGTTTCGTCAGTCACATTGATCAGACTCAAGCGTGTTTCCATCCACGGTATTTGGTTGTTATTTGCCCTTTGCAAACAATGGAGGTATATTTCTATCGCCGGATTGTTATGACATGTGGACATAAAGGCGTGACATGTTTCTCTATTTCAGTTTGTGTTATTCATATATAACCTTATAAAACACGTGGTCGATTTTTGATGGTTTTTCCAAATAGCTAGTCATCATATAGAAGTTTATATTCGATATCTAAGCCTTGCGCCATAGAACAAGTCTTCTTAGATATGAAACTCAATGGTGTCACATTGTGTAAGGTAAACGAATAACATATTGCGCTAAAATATTATTTCAATTTTTTTTAAAAACTACAACCCGATTTCATGTTGTTCCGGAAACACCGGACCCTTAGTGAATGTTCTTGATACCACGTGACTTGACGTCATAGGCGCGAATCCTGTGTATTTAGCGCAATCGTTTTGTAATGCTAACAGAATCGAAACTACAAACATACACAATCTTTATTCAGCCTTAGAGTCCATGTGGCCTAGAGTACAAGCGATGTGTATGATATATACACATATATTACAATTTTAACAAATGCAAAGTATATCAAAGTAAGATTTATTTTATAAGACCGATAAATTACCTTGTACCCTTTTAATTTCAATCAAAGCTCGAAATCTTTATGTCGACGGAAACGAAAATATTTCGATGTGATACATTTTTCTCTACCCTCTATCAAACAATAAACTATATTTTTTTTATTTACACACTTTTACAAAGAATCTGATCAGATCCTAACGTTGTGAACAGCTGTTATCACTGATCAAGACTATTTTTCTTTCCGTGTTTGTTTCAGATCAAGCTTTGAGAAAAATCTTCGTTCGTTCGTTCGTTCGTGGGGGCACGGGTGGCCCAGTCGTCTAAGGCGCCGCGATTTGCTGTGCAGAGTTTTGTCCCTTGAGCACGCCAGAAACCTATGATTGTTGGTTCGAGTCCCGGTTCGCCCCTATTATGTTTCTAGGTTTGTCAGCACCATACCCGTGCTCGTGGGTTTCACCGAAGTGGTAAACGCCTGAGACATGCATCACTTCGGGCTTTCCTCCCACATTAAGCTGACACGCCGTGATATGACTGGAATACTGTTGAAAGGGGCGTTAAACCCAATTCACTCGTTCGTTCGTTCGTTTCGTTTCGTTTCGACTTCTTGAAAGTTTAACGTAGAAAATGATACCCTCCCTAATAATCAGCCTTGTCACTGAGCTTGACCACCCCATACGCTCAGTCGCCTCGTACGACAAACAGGGGCTGCTGTGGACCTGTAATATCCCGGAATCCTCTTCGGGTTTATAGAATGAACTGAGTGAGCGAGTGAGTGAGTATGGTTTTACGCCGCTTTTAGCCAAATTCCACCAATATCATGGCGGGGACACCAGAAAGGAGCTTCACACATTGTACCCATGTGCGAAATGAAACCCGGGATTTTGACAAGACAAGCGAACACTTTAACCACTAGGCTACCCAACCGCCACTTACAATGAGTGAGTGAGTGAGTATGATTTCACGCCGCTTTTAGCAATATTCCAGCAATAACGGCGGGGACACCAGAAATGGGCTTCACACATTGTATTATGTCGAGAATCGAACCCGGGTCTTCGGCGTGACGAGCGAACGCTTTAACCACTAGGCTACCCGACCAACCCCCCCCCCCCCCCCCCCCACACACACACACACACTTACCATGAGTTGATCAGAAGCAACATAGGGATATCATACAAATATAGCGACACAATGACACCTCAGGAATGAAAACCTATATGTATTGAACGTCACTTACAAACTGCGGTGACGAAGTTCGCGTTTGAGAAATCATTGCAAGTTTTTGTAAATAACTTCCTATCGATTACATGACATGAACACTTATCTATCAGATTAGAGATAAGGCAACATGTTCGTGTCAAAGAACGCATAAAAAATGATTGACAACACTGATCTTGTTTGTTTTGTTAATATGAACTCTGTGTAGTACTCAGACAAATCGATGAATATTTTCAAAACATGTTTACTTAATGTTTGAGAGAACTACCCTCATGAACGTAGGCTTCTATATCTGGATCTTCTCGCATAAAGGATGACATCGGCGTCACTGAAAATCAATGGTCGGTGTGGTGCAGATCTCTTCATAAACATGTTTTAATTAAACGGGGTCTGACACGAACACGGGAACCCTCATCTCTTTTCTTCCATAAAAAATGCAAGCAAATCCTCTCATGTACAGGTTTTATTATGGAACCCGATGAACACATGTACACATGCTCGATATATCCAATGACGTTACGAAACGCCTGATAATGCCATATGGATGGTTAATCTGATGACTGAATCTGTATGTCTCATTACATCGGGTGATCCTTCTTTCAATACCTTCCTTTACTAAACTACAGTAAACTACGTTTATAACAAACACGCTTATAACGAACTGGCGGATATAACGAACTGGTTTTTAGGTCCCTGTCATATGCTGTCTATATGCTGTTTATATGCTTATAACGAACTACGGTTATAACGAACTAAAAGTGTGGTCCCTTTCAGTTCGCTATAACCGTAGTTTACTGTATAGGAAGCAAGTGTGTGTGTGCGTGCCTTAACTGATAGTATGACTTAACTGTCAGTATGACTTAACTGATAGTATGACTTAACTGACGGTTTGACTCAACTGACAGTATGACTTAACTGATAGTATGACTTAACTGACAGTATGACTCAACTGATAGTATGACTAAACTGATAGTATGACTTAACTGACAGTATGACTTAACTGATAGTATGACTTAAATGACTGTATGACTTAACTGACAGTATGACTTAACTGATAGTATGACTTAACTGATAGTATGACTTAACTGACAGTATGACTTAACTGACAGTATGACTTAACTGATAGTATGACTTAACTGATAGTATGACTTAACTGATAGTATGACTCAACTGATAGTATGACTTAACTGACAGTATGACTCAACTGATAGTATGACTTAACTGATAGTATGATTAAACTGATAGTATGACTTAACTGATAGTATTACTTAACTGACTCTATGACTTAACTGACAGTATGACTTAACTGATAGTATGACTTAACTGATAGTATGACTTAACTGACAGTATGACTTAACTGACAGAATGACTTAACTGACAGTATGACTTAACTGACAGAATGACTTAACTGACAGTATGACTTAACTGAAAGTATGACTTAACTGACAGAATGACTTAACTGACAGTATGACTTAACTGACAGTATGACTTAACTGACTGTATGACTTAACTGACAGTATGACTTAACTGATAGTATGACTTAACTGATAGTATGACTTAACTGACAGTATGACTTAACTGACAGTATGACTTAACTGATAATATGACTTAACTGATAGTATGACTTAACTGATAGTATGACTTATCTGATAGTATGACTGAACTGATAGTATGACTTAACTGATAGTATGACTTAAATGACAGTATGACTTAACTGATAGTATGACTTAACTGACAGTATGACTTAACTGACAGAATGACTTAACTGACAGAATGACTTAACTGACAGAATGACTTAACTGACAGTATGACTTAACTGATAGTATGACTTAACTGACAGTATGACTTAACTGACAGTATGACTCAACTCACAGAATGACTTAACGGGTGGCGGGTTGGGGGTTCCAATGAGACGTGAGCCCCTGAACAAGATGATCTCATTACATTAAATGCACAACCAAAAGATTCAATATCAATATCAATGGAGAATTCTGTACAAAAACTACCGTTAAAACCCGGCTCTACGCAGCCCTCGTGAAAACTGCTTATTATATGTATTGAAAACTACGTATTATGTGTATCGAAAACTACGTGTTATGTGTATTGAAAACTACGTATTATGTGTATTGAAAACTACGTATTATGTGTATTGAAAACTACGTATTATGTGTATTGAAAACTACGTGTTATGTGTATTGAAAACTACGTATTATGTGTATTGAAAACTACGTGTTATGTGTATTGAAAACTACGTGTTATGTGTATTGAAAACTACGTATTATGTGTATTGAAAACTACGTATTATGTGTATTGAAAACTACGTATTATGTGTATTGAAAACTGCGTATTATGTGTATCGAAAAATGCGTATTATGTGTATCGAAAACTACGTATTATGTGTATTGAAAACTACGTATTATGTGTATTGAAAACTACGTATTATGTGTATTAAAAAATACGTATGGTGTGTATTGAAAACAACGTATTATGTCTTTTGAAAACTACGTATAATGTGTATTGAAAACTACGTATCATAAACTACGTATTATGTGTATTGAAAACTACGTATCATAAACTACGTATAATGTGTATTGAAAACAACGTATTATGTCTTTTGAAAACTACGTATTATGTGTATCTGCAGTACAATAAAACAAAACTAAATAAAAAACTAAACCTGCATGCATTCTTAAAACAAGAGTCAGTTACAACATAAGTATTTTTATTCAATATCGGTGAACTTGGACATAATCTTTAGTTCACTGTTGAGGTTTTTCACAAATGATATTCCCTCTGTGGCAAGGCGTCGTGCCTATGCAGTAACCGATTTTTTTCCGGTGTCGTTTCAGTGCAGGGCAGCCCGAACGGTGTGAATACCCCGGTCCCGAGCACCAGAAGTTATCATCGATCTCCACCCCGTTGGACCAGTGATGTGTCTTCACGCCGTACTGCCTGCGTAGTCCAATATAAAATTCTTTCCCCTCATCTGATAAGAAAAGTCAAGTATGTCCATATACTACAGTATATCTATTACACACCCACTTCCATACGAGGATGTGGGTCTGTATTGAAGGCTTCTCAGTCCGATATTGTCTTTATAATCCCGAACTTTAACAATTATAACTAAATATATAACTTAATATTCCAGAATTAATTATATTGACGAGTACATTTTTGTCAAAAATAATATCTCACTTTCTTTGAGGTAGCAAATGACATGCTGTTGACGAGCGTAACCGTGTCACAATGACCGTGTCACAATGACTGTGTCACAATGACCGTGTCAAAATGACCGTGTCACAATGACCGTGTCACAATCATGCTACACTGACAGTATTGGATCACAGTACATGGACTCCATGCCAACCACTCCTTGTTTTAGGCCCTGAATGCACAGCGCCAGACAAGGTAACAACAAGTATGAGGAGGCAACATTGCACAGTGAAGGGTTTATTCGCCCGGGACTTAACTGAAAGTATGACTTAACTGACAGAATGACTTAACTGACAGTATGACTTAACTGACAGTATGACTTAAATGACTGTATGACTTAACTGACAGTATGACTTAACTGATAGTATGACTTAACTGATAGTATGACTTAACTGACAGTATGACTTAACTGACAGTATGACTTAACTGATAATATGACTTAACTGATAGTATGACTTAACTGATAGTATGACTTATCTGATAGTATGACTGAACTGATAGTATGACTTAACTGATAGTATGACTTAAATGACAGTATGACTTAACTGATAGTATGACTTAACTGACAGTATGACTTAACTGACAGAATGACTTAACTGACAGAATGACTTAACTGACAGAATGACTTAACTGACAGTATGACTTAACTGATAGTATGACTTAACTGACAGTATGACTTAACTGACAGTATGACTCAACTCACAGAATGACTTAACGGGTGGCGGGTTGGGGGTTCCAATGAGACGTGAGCCCCTGAACAAGATGATCTCATTACATTAAATGCACAACCAAAAGATTCAATATCAATATCAATGGAGAATTCTGTACAAAAACTACCGTTAAAACCCGGCTCTACGCAGCCCTCGTGAAAACTGCTTATTATATGTATTGAAAACTACGTATTATGTGTATCGAAAACTACGTGTTATGTGTATTGAAAACTACGTATTATGTGTATTGAAAACTACGTATTATGTGTATTGAAAACTACGTATTATGTGTATTGAAAACTACGTGTTATGTGTATTGAAAACTACGTATTATGTGTATTGAAAACTACGTATTATGTGTATTGAAAACTACGTGTTATGTGTATTGAAAACTACGTATTATGTGTATTGAAAACTACGTATTATGTGTATTGAAAACTACGTATTATGTGTATTGAAAACTACGTATTATGTGTATTGAAAACTGCGTATTATGTGTATCGAAAAATGCGTATTATGTGTATCGAAAACTACGTATTATGTGTATTGAAAACTACGTATTATGTGTATTGAAAACTACGTATTATGTGTATTAAAAAATACGTATGGTGTGTATTGAAAACAACGTATTATGTCTTTTGAAAACTACGTATAATGTGTATTGAAAACTACGTATCATAAACTACGTATTATGTGTATTGAAAACTACGTATCATAAACTACGTATAATGTGTATTGAAAACAACGTATTATGTCTTTTGAAAACTACGTATTATGTGTATCTGCAGTACAATAAAACAAAACTAAATAAAAAACTAAACCTGCATGCATTCTTAAAACAAGAGTCAGTTACAACATAAGTATTTTTATTCAATATCGGTGAACTTGGACATAATCTTTAGTTCACTGTTGAGGTTTTTCACAAATGATATTCCCTCTGTGGCAAGGCGTCGTGCCTATGCAGTAACCGATTTTTTTCCGGTGTCGTTTCAGTGCAGGGCAGCCCGAACGGTGTGAATACCCCGGTCCCGAGCACCAGAAGTTATCATCGATCTCCACCCCGTTGGACCAGTGATGTGTCTTCACGCCGTACTGCCTGCGTAGTCCAATATAAAATTCTTTCCCCTCATCTGATAAGAAAAGTCAAGTATGTCCATATACTACAGTATATCTATTACACACCCACTTCCATACGAGGATGTGGGTCTGTATTGAAGGCTTCTCAGTCCGATATTGTCTTTATAATCCCGAACTTTAACAATTATAACTAAATATATAACTTAATATTCCAGAATTAATTATATTGACGAGTACATTTTTGTCAAAAATAATATCTCACTTTTTTTGAGGTAGCAAATGACATGCTGTTGACGAGCGTAACCGTGTCACAATGACCGTGTCACAATGACTGTGTCACAATGACCGTGTCACAATGACCGTGTCACAATCATGCTACACTGACATTATTGGATCACAGTACATGGACTCCATGCCAACCACTCCTTGTTTTAGGCCCTGAATGCACAGCGCCAGACAAGGTAACAACAAGTATGAGGAGGCAACATTGCACAGTGAAGGGTTTATTCGCCCGGGCACTCCCTGTCGCTTGAATCATTAGCTCTTCCGAAATGTAGATGAAAATAACATTTACAAGGTGTTACAAGGGACAGGGCTATTTTCCAGGTATTTATGAATACCAAATCTACTTTCTTGAATAATAAGGACATGATCTACTGAACGCGTTTCCTATCAATGCCTTAACGCTACTCACCCATGTTCTTGTTCAGATAACCCTGCATTGCTTCATACTTTTGCTTCGTGTCCAGGACAATTAGTCGCCCTCCTTCAACGAGTTCAGCACAGCGGTGTTCCATTTCCGAAATCTTCACGGTCTTCATAACCAGAGCAAAGGATAGACCCACCTTGTCAATATTTGTGAGGTTTCCTTGAGAGATGGGAAATGAAAATTACGAGTGGTTGTCAACGGTGTAGACATAATTAACACGTGGTATTCTATTCATTAATGTCTATTGACAAAAGTGACAAATACTTTTGGCAAACGTTTGGGCTGAGATTATTAATAAGATTCCCTTGCTAAGAGACTTTATACCCGAGATATTTATATGTATATGATAGAAACAGTAGCAGTAAATATGTCTCCAAAAGTAATATTCTTCCACTGTTGTTATAAATAATAAATTCTGTATGTATGACAATTTAATGTTCTGCTTAAGGACAAACGCAGTCAGCATATTATTAGTGATTACCATATTTTTGTATGTACTTTGTTAAAAATATAATAGTTTCTGTGGCGAATAGTATGTATTATAAAAGAGCGATTGCTTTTTCAACTTCCTAAGGCAAAAACACGACCGCTACCACGTATCACCGGATATAGCTTGTCAACAAAATGATCTTACGCCAATTAGTTCCATTATATTACGGCAATATAACACTATGTTGCATCAAACAAAGTTCAGCGTGTTTCTGGCTTTCCATGAGCTATTTGCACCGCTCCGGAGGTCATGAATGAATGAGTGATTTGGGTGTAATGCCACTTTGAAGAGTATTCCAGTTATATCACGGCGTGTCAGCTTAATGTGGGAGGAAAGCCCGAAGTGAAGCAGGACTCCAATGTTTACCATTTTGGTGAAACGCACGAGGACGGGCATGATGCTGACGAACCTAGAAATACTAGCGGGGTAAACGGGACTCGACCTATGCTCGTTTGGCGTGCCCTAAGGACGCACTGGAGCATTGGCGCCTTGATGTGAACCTCAGTCGTCATAAATATAATTACGCATTGCTGTGCAAGCGACCTTACCGTCATGCTGCTCCGTGACGACCTCCCTTGCAGTCCCTAACATCTTATTTGATACCAGGGAACCACTTGCACTTTACCAGGTAGACCCTTATGTTTCTCGGTGACGACCTCCCTTTCAATCTCTGGCATGTTATTTGATGTTTGATACCAGAGAACCCACATAGACATTACCGTGTTGGTGAGCCTCAGGTTCCTCAGTGATGATCTGCCTTTCAATCTTTGACATGTTATTTGATGTTTGATACCAGAGAACCCACATAGACATCACCGTGTTGGTGAGCCTCAGGTTCCTCAGTGACGACCTCCCTTTCAATCTCTGACATGTTATTTGATACCGCAGAGCCAACTTGGACTTTACCGTGTTGGTGAGCCTCGGGTTTTCCAGTGGTTACGGCCTTAGCTTCCATCTGTTGCAGCTTTTCTTCAATGTTTGACAAACGGGACTTCTCTTCCTGTTGTAATGCATGTATCTGTGACAACAACTGATCCAGTGATCCATGTGCTTTCCTTGGTCCTTTTGTTGTCTATCTTGATCCTTCAATGATTTCTCTTGTTGGTCCAGATGCCTTCCCAGCTTATTCAGAAGTTCTGCTTGCTCTGCAATCAGCTCTTCTTGTTTCTCGAGGCGACTCCCTTGTGCCTTTAGATCACTTACGACCTTCTTAACCTCTTTGTCCACAGTTGAAGGAGGATTGAACTGACTTGGATGGAATGTTGGAGACCAAATTCTTTGAAGCGCAAATGCAGCTGTTATGTGTATGACAGTTAGGAATACCAAACTCAGTTTTGCCATCATCTTTTGCAAGTGTTGTCTTTACGAGACGACGCAGTAACTTCTCAAACTGAATCAGGCTCTTTTATAATGACCCATGGCAAAGGATCTGGCATAATGAGTTGCTGTCAAGTGATAAACTAACCTGGCCATTCGTGTTCCAGTGATATACTAGATTCGCAATCAGTTATTACTTTGGTCACCAAATGCCTTGGTTGCTTTTCATGCACAAGGCTTAATGTATATTAACACGTGTGTGCATGTGTAGGGTAATGTGATATAAAAAATGAAAGTAACATCAAACGTAAGGCGGCAAACGTAGTTCGCGTTCAAGAAATCATTGCAAGTTTTTGTTAATAAGTTCCTATAGGTTACATGACATGAACACTTATCTATCAGATTGGAGATAAGGCAACGTGTTCGTGTCAAAGAACCACTGACCTTGTTTGTTTTGTTAATATGAACTCTGTGTAGTATTCACATGAATCAATGAATATTTTCAAAACATGTTTACTTAATGTTTGAGAGAACTACCCTCATGAACGTAGGCTTCTATATCTGGATCTTCTCGCATAAAGGATGACAACGGCGTCACTGAAAATCAATGGTCGATATGATGCAGATACAGATGGTTTGAAATTTGCAAACAAGGTAATTGACGCTATACAATGTAAGTTACATTCTCAGACACAAAGCTGTTTCCCAAAATGTCCCATTTTTTCAAATTTCAGGAATCACCAACAATTTCATACAGGTGGTTCAAATATAGGGACGTGTTGCTGAAAGTGGACTTGGCAGCTCATGATGTAAATTCCACTTGTTGCTGCCAAGACTCAGCATTCTGCCATCAACCTGTCGGTCATATAATCACAGGTGCCTTCTCTCTTGTTGACTCTTCTATTGACAATAACAACCTTCGTCAGTTATTCAGCTATGGACCAAAATACCGTAAACAACCTCCTACTGATTGGGATCAGAATTTTAAAATAATAATGGATGCTCTTGAAGGATATTCCAAAAATGGGCAAAAAGAGAAGAGGAACCTGTTGAATGGCTTTCAGGGTGGGTTAAGTCAGTGCGTGGTGTTGTCATAGGTAGAATACACAAACTCAAAAAGAAGAAACAGAATTGGAATAAACCCATTCTGTCCCAGCCAGCCGTCATCCAACGTCTGGCTGCCCTACATACGAAGGTCGTAGTTGTTCCCACTGACAAGGCCTCAAATAACATAACCATTATATGTAAGCATCACTTCATTATTTGTTTGATCAAAGAACTTTCTATAAATGACAAATCAAATAATGCCACGTATAAGGTCAGTTTGTTAAACCATGCATCAGACTATCAACTTCTGACTTGACTCTAAAACCTGAACACATATCCATTCCTCTTTTGTACTGGATTACAAAGCTCTATAAAAACTCTCACAAAGTGATTTATATTGCTGGGTCCAGAAAATGTACCACCAAATCCCTGTCTCGAAGACTGACCATAATCCTTTACACAATCACGGAAAGACTTTCTATATATTCACAAAATATTTGCGACAAGTGGAATCAATACACAGTGGATTCTCATCAACTCAAATGATTGGCCTGATTTTTTTTCAAAAACAGAAGAACCATTCTGTCAAAACATATGGCCACTGATACAGTTACGTATCAATACGGAACAACAAAAATTCCTGTGACATTGAATAAGATTTAATCCAAAGTTATGCTTTTTACCAAATCTGAAACAACTTCGGTTTGCAACAGATAAAAGACTCCTGTAAGTGTTTAAATAGTTTAATTTGCCATACTGACTTCAGAAAATTCGTGATGTCATAAAAAAAAATCATGAACATGCCAAAATGTCAATTTACACATCAATAGCGCGTGTGTCCACCTCTGGTTGCGATGCAAGCAACACATCTTCGTCCTCATGGAATGGACCAGACGTCGAACAACGTCCTGTGGGTTATCTGTCCATATCTGCTGGAGCATGTTTCGAAGTTCTTGGAGTGTCTGTGGAACACGTGATTGACGTCGAAGGCGCCGATCCATCTCATCTCACATATGCTTGATTGGTGAGAGATCAGGGGAGCGTGGCAGCCATGGGATGACATTCACGCTGGGCCATGACGACGCAAAAACGGTAGAACAACAAGGCCGATGATCTCATCGCGGTAGCGCTGTACATTGAGATTTCCCTCTACCACCATCAAATGGGTACTCTGTCTTGCTGTAACACCATACCACAACGCTGCCGCCCCCGAAACGATCTTCTTCCATACCACATTGACGTCGGTACACTCGAATCCGTCCATCGCTGTGGCTGAGGTGAAAACGAGACTCGTCAGTGAATAGAACTTGTCCCCACTGCATGGCCGTCCAGCATAGACGCTGTCTGCACCACTGTAGATCAGCTTGACAGTGGTTTCCTGTCAAAATGGGCCGTCTGGCGGGTCTTCTGGTGACAATCCCTGCACATCTGAGGCGACGACGTACGGTTTGTGAGGATATTCGTCGAAGGCCAGGGATGCTTCTTGCAGTCACTGTTGCTGGCTGGAATCGATTTCGTAGGTGTGTTGTTCGAATCCAGTTGTCTAGTCGATTATTGGTTACGCGTGGCCTGCCACTCCGAGGATGGCCTCTGACTGCATTCGTCTGTTGCCAACGTTGCCATAAAACCAAATGGTGTTTCTGTGGACGTTAAATTGTCTTGCAACATCACGTTGACTCGATCCTGCTTCAAGCATACCAATGGCTCGCAGATGCTCATTTACGGACAGGCGTGGCATTTCGTAATGGTAATTAATTGCGTCATTTTGTTGTTTTTCTGAGTGGTTGTTGTCAGCACGATGCTTAATAATGCATATGGAATCCCGTTAACGCACATGTTTTTATACCCATTCTTCGGTAGTGAAATGCATGGGGCTTGCATAAAAGTTAAATTTTGCATGGAATGCAAGCTTCTCTGTAGCAGTTGCGTTTTTGTGACTTGATTCCATACATGTACTACAATATTGAAAACCAAACTTTACTTGTTTGAAAAATACACTAAAATATTGGTGTCACAGGAACTTTTGTTGTTATATATACTATAATGTTATATAGTATATAATATAGTATAATATTAATGTACCCTGTTCATGTAATCTGTCACAATTGTTTATATATGCACATTTGCCCCCCCCCCCCCATCACCATAACACTATGGCAACCGAATTTGTCGATGTTTTCACAATGTTGGGGCAAAACGCTTATTTCGACGACGATAAACACGTTGTATACCATTTCGCCGGTGAAGAAGAAATTTTTTGGCTTATGTTTGTCTTTTTATAGCCACTACGCGAGTTACGAATGCCATAATTTGCACGTGGATTTTGCTTTACTGTTTTCCTCTTACATTTTTTAACAAGTGTGAACAAAATGCCGTTTAAGACATTGCAAATCGACAACGGCTGCGTTTTGACGCACAGTCTGTCGTATAATAGCCCACCAAGAATTATCAATACTTTTCATCATACCTGTGCGTTTCTGTTTTTGAAGAGTGTATTATGGGAAGGCTCTCAAACAATTAGACTTTAGCATACTGATAGACGCTGAGGAAGATCTGGACTACGATTGTTCCCATATGCTCCATCCGTACACAGAGTGGTACAATACTAGTAGATATCTGGCGTGATGAGATTGTACCAAGGTCGAAAACGTCGTTCTTTTTAGTTCACCTGACTGAAAGGTTATCTAAGTTTGTGATGATAAGATGTGCTGTCACGTCCAATGAATGTCTATCACAGCTGTTTACGATCATAACATCCACATCAGCGAAATATGTTATTGGAGGACAAATGTTGAAAAAAACTGATTTGAACAGGATGTGAATAATGCGAACAATATGAAACAGGAAAAGAATGGACTAAAATAGAATGGGGTTTCAACTAAAAAATCGTATGAGTACGGAAGCGTAGTGGGGCTAAGGTGAAATGTTTTTGTCTAAGTATCTCCTACGAAGGACGTATATGAGTACCGAAAGGGGTTTGTCATAACAATAACATAACAATGACTTCTTAAAGAAACAGTGAAAATTGTTTGGAGGTGGAGGGGAACCATTAGTGTACTGACAGTATAGAAGTTTGAGATGAGGTGTTCCATGGTGAGTGGGGGAGTATGGTTAAGTGTAATTGGCATTTGACCAATATAAACGGGGTTAGGTGTAATCATTACATTGCAGATAAGTCTAGGAATTCCAAACATACTTCGTGGGTGAAGGCCGACGACAAGGTAGAGATAATGCTGAGGCCAGTAAAGATCATCTGATCTTGTACCACTGCTGTAGGTGTCAGTAATGGAGATGGATGTCGGTGTCCTTCTCGCCGTTCTGGTTCTAATTTATTCTGCAGGTTGGTGTGATATAGTCCTTTAGACTCTTTAGTTCATGAACAGTTATAAACATTTTCTGCAGAATGTTCACACATTTAAGATATAACTCTATAAAATGAGATTAATGAATATATCAATAGGGGCCAACTCAACAGTATCTTATAATACATGTTCTCCTTAGGTCTTCTAAACAATGTTGAAACTTAGAATACTACTCATGCATTCGCAGAACAACATTTCACCAAAATATATAACTGCATGTGTTGTATAATTAGTTAATCTTACAATGTCAATTCAGAACAGCAGTATCATGGTATTCTCCAGACCGTAACAAAAAATGGTTATAAAAGTAATACTATATACTCTTAAATTGAATTGTTGTGTATGTTTAGAAATCACAAAGACGTAGCTTGAATGGAATGGAAAACAAACAAATCGGGAAGATTCACTATTGACAGCAATAGAGGTATTTCGAATATGTATTGTGGGCCCTGGCAATACTTCACAGTCCATGTATTGAAAGTCACACTGGAAAGTTGTGTTATCTAAAAATGCACATGACTCAGATCAATGTCTTTGTTCATCTGCCAGCAAAGAAAGGATTTATCACTTATACACCATGATTGGAAAGAAAGATATTCCTGTATAAATTAGATTTGGTCATACACACCTCACCCCCGCCCCTCCATCCCCGTTCACCGCCTCAAAACACCTCCAACAACATTTATATCATTTTATATTCATAATATATTACATAATTATGATACATGTTCATAATTGAATCTGCAATTGCTCAGCTAGTACACAGGGTGGTGGTGATAGCTTCACCGTCACCGTCAACACCAACGGTAGTTACAGCATCGCCGTCCAGGGAAATATCTGGCTCAAAAGCGCACCGACTTTCGTCAGAGCCAACGGGCAGATTTACAGCACCGCAGATGGCTCCTTGAAGCTTCTACAGACCACTGGAACATCTGGTACCGACTTCATCGGGAAATGGCAGTCCACTAGCTTCCTCTACCAAGCCGACACGTGTCGCTTCTTAGCCAGCATTTACTTCTACACGCCAGACCCAAGTATCTTCTCATATAACAATCCTCCTGAACAATTTCTGCTCTTCAAACAGGTTTGACTTTAACTTGTTAGCTTTTTTAAAATATTCACTACAAATGCAAATGACTTTACATACATAGTAGTCCACATGCATGTAGATACTAAAATAACTTCTTGAAAGAAATGCGTTAAAAGTGTTTGTTGGAGCTATCATCTTGTGCAATCAGAGTCAATATTGTATTATGTTTACTCACTAATGCGAGATATATATGTATAATGCGACAATAAAGCACCATGTTCCTTTCCTAATAGCAATGCAACCCATATTTTCTTGAAAGGAATATTGTATTAATATGAAAAACGGATAACAGCGTCTCCTCATAGACATCATGTAAATGTGTTTTCATTTGTGTTTTTTCTCCATAGACGTACTTAACCCAAACGAATGGCACAAAGGCACGGAGCGTTGATGAAACCATAGCTGGCTTCCCCGGGTTTGTTGTGAAGGAGGCGTCGGTCCCGCTTGGCTACTTGTCCTACGGCGGTGGTCAGTTTGGATATGGCATGAAAACATTTGGACAGTAAGTAGAGTTGTGTAGCCTGAATGAGTGAGGAGGTTGGTTTAGTGCCATTGTTTACGGTTTTATATCCAGAAGTTTAAAAGGTCGTAGGCGTTTACCATCTTCCTGAGGAAACCAAGGATTCAGATCCTGGTACCAGGAGGAAATGCAATTCTGAACAGGGAATTACCTTTCACCAATGGCCCACTCAAGTCTCAAAAGGACAATCTAGGTAGCATTTACTTTTAAGAAAGAACATTGGTATTTGATCAATTTAAGAAATGATTTGAAAAGATAGATATAATAAGAAAAATTACCGACCACACAGAAATAATTTAACCGAGTTTGTTGAAAATAAATCTGTTTTGGTTAAATAATATATATTTGAAATATCGCTTTCTTTTTCAGATTTGGACCAAAACTTAACATTTCTTCTGGCATCGAAAGTGGTCCCCTGTCTATATTTGACCGGGTCAAGACACCCAATACCCTCATCCTGTCCCCTGCAAGTTCCTTCATGTCCGCCAATCTCTGGCGCCAGAACACCAGCACCGGAAGCAACCTCTACTGGGGAACAATGGGTGGCGTTACAGATGTCCCTGCCAACTTTGAAACCAGCACCATCCTCTTCTTCAGCAACCAAGGTATCAACAAGGTGCGTTAGTAATGACTGATACAACGCTTTTGAGAATCATTTTGACGTGTCTATCTACGATGAGGAACTAATTGAATGTATTCCAAGTTGCAACAAACAAGCAGGACTTTCATGTATATGTCTGGCATTTCGTAAACAGTGATCAAAGAGTATAATGTGATATATTTCATCACTGATTTTCAGTGATCCATTCATATCATTTTCACCTCTACTTTGCCTTATAAGTCCACTTAAATCTGAATACGACAGTCGAGACTGGTTAGTCTCTGGCGTTGACGTTTTGTTTTAAGTAAGTAAAATGTTTCATTTAACCTTACGTATCTGAATGACAGGGATTCGTTAGCTGGGGTCAGATTCTACAGAAATGGTACGGAAGAGACAACAGTTTTGTGAAGTCAGATTTTACCAGCAACTATCTGGGGTACTGGACAGACAACGGTAGGGAAACCACACGAACTTGCACTCCTTCTCTACTCTATAATGTGTTTGGTACTGTTACATTCGGCCCGACCCTGTGTTAATTCCAAGTTAGAATTAGTGCCAAGCAGCCTATGGGTCGGATGGTCAGGTTCGGGGCTAGGTGTCATCGTACCCCGACTGTGTGGACCATTGCAGATAATAGCAATCCCAGGATTGTCGATGAGTGCAGGTTGAGAACACAAACCACCACATGCTCATCCGATCCCTGAATGACCTATTTCACAACTTGTTTACGGACGTAAAAGTTAATTGTAATTATGTTTGCTCACATTTAAAATATCGACATTTATTGACATTGAGATACAATATACTAGTATCAGTCTCCCTGCACGGTGTGCAAGAATCATACGATCATTGGTTCAAATCCAAGATTCATGTTATAAAGAACCTGGGTGTATCAGGTCTCTACCTCAGCTCATTGGTTTGTTTGGACGTTACTACAACAATCACAAACTAAAATGTCATTTTAATGACCTTGCACCATTTCAATCACTCTTGTCAAGCACTTAATTCTGTTACATTCGTGTTGAAAATTCAAGGAATTCTGTTTTGCAGGCGCCTATTACTATTACCACACAGAACCTAAGAAAGATTACCAAGACACCATACTGGACATTGTTACCTCCATCAAGGACACAGGTATTCCCTTCAGGTAGGTGGTCACTTGTAGGTGCGTTAAAGACACAGGTATACCCTACAGGTAGGTGGTCACTTGTAGGTGCGTTAAGGACACAGGTATACCCTACAGGTAGGTGGTCACTTGTAGGTGCATTAAGGATACAGGTACAGTATTCCCTTCAGATAGGTGGTCACGTGTAGGTGCGTTAAGAACATAGGCATGCCCTTCAGATAGGTGGTCACTTGTAGGTGCGTTAAGGACACAGGTATACCCTTCAGATAGGTGGTCACTTGTAGGTGCGTTAAGAACATAGGCATGCCCTCCAGGTAGGTGGTCACTTATAGGTGAATTAAGGGCACAGGTATACCCTTCAAGTAAGTGGTCGTTTATAGGTGCATTGGGGATACAGGTATTCCCTTCAGGTAGGTGGTCACCAGCTGCTAAAAGGACACAGGTGTTCCCTTCAGATACCTGTCCACCTGTAGTTTCAACAAAGACACAGGTATACCCTTTGCGTCACCTTTAGCTTCATCAACATTTATCATTTGGGTTACTTGTCATAAAAAGTCATGTATACGCCCCTTTTGGTTTTCGCCTGATGATCTACACGGTACATCCCACTTTTGCCCTGATAATATATCTATCAAGGTCAGCTTACACTCAAGCTGGTCTGCCTCTTGTTCTGGATGGTTGACATTTCTAAGCATTGGTATATGCAGAAATGTGGCGATACGTGGTCCTGTGGAAGTCATAGAGGATTCATCACGAGTGTTTTTTAATATGGGAAATATCAACCGAGTCTTAGTTAATCGGTATTTGCCGAGCCTTTGGCAAGGCAAATACCGATTAACGGGACGAGGTTGATATTTCCCATATTAAAAAACACTCGTGATGAATTCTATTTATCATTTTCACATTTTTGCTTCCAAATTAAGGAATAATTGCATTAAACATTAACATCAGCAACTTGTCGAAATCTTACGTATAGATCGTGCGTAGTGATACATGTTTTCCATAGCCATGTAAACCAAAATAAACAATTCGCTGAGAAAAAAAGTTCCTCGGATTATTTTAAACAAAATACTTGAACAGACTTTTGCAGAATAATTGAAACTTTAATAACGGTAACAACAACGATTCTGTGTAATCTGATTATACCTCTGGTGTAACTTCACTTATAATATATAGTTTCAAATCAAACCGCTCGCTCTTCCGGTTATCAATTTGCATATCTAATTTGCATACTTATGTCCTTGGGGTATGACATACATGTTTTTATGTCATAAGCATATGTCATGGATAAATGCTTAAGTTAAATGATAAACACGGGTATCAGATCAACCGAAGTTGGTCGCAAAGAGTCCTTGGGAGGGGGATCGTGTTCTGGTGTTTGGTTCCTGAGAGTTTCTTGGGCTTCCATCCTCAACCTGGCACCTTTGGTGTTTCCTTGGCGAAGTGACTTAGTTCGTATTATTCCCTCTGTTCATCCAGCAGAGAAACGGGTACCCGGTAGGATGAGATGATAATGTTACTGTTCACCTTCTGGCGCCTCACAGTGAACTGAGAATGAGAAATCCAATGAAAACTGATACACTGACCAGGCTCAATGATAATGTAGCGCTTCAAGTAAACATTGCGTGTGGAGTTTTTTCTGTGCATGTTTTTTGTTAGCTCTTAGTGTTAGCTTTGCAGTGAGTGTTATTTAAATAGATGGTTATATTGTGCGTGATGCTATTCTAATTGGGGGGCACGGGTGGCCCAGTCGTCTAAGGCGCCGCGATTCGCTGTGCAAAGTTGCGTCCCTTGGGCACGTCAGAAACCTATGGTTGTGGGTTCGAATCCCGCTTCGCCCCGATTATGTTTCTAGGTTTGTCAGCACCATACCCGTGCTCGTGGGTTTCACCGAAGTGGTAAACGCATGAGATCTGCATCACTTCGGGCTTTCCTCTCACATTCAGCTGACACGCCGTGATATAACTGGAATACTGTTAAAAGCGGCGTTAAACCCAACCCACTCACTCACTCACTATTCCATTTGGGCTGAGAAAGAATCTGTGAATCTAGCGATTTGCAAAGAACAGGTAAACTGTCAACATTATATACCTCAAGCAAAATATAACCAATATTTCTCCAAGCAAGACGTTAACCTATTTCGGGTATTCTGAAACACGCACAACCTTGGCATGGCTTTGGAAGACACGGAGTTCATATCGGAACATCGTTAATATCTCCCTCTTCTCTATCCGCTGGAGGCTCTGTGACGGAATTCGTTGTGTATATTTGCGTCTGTTAATAGTAACAGGATCCGATAATCGTAGGTTTCTATTCCCTGATTCATTCTATTTATGATCCTTGGGGTCCCCGGCCGCGTCATACCAAAAGACGTTAAAAGATGGTACTTGTTGTTACCCTGTCTGGCGCTCGGCATTAAGGGGCTAAAACAAAGACTGGGCGGCTCGGAGTCAGTATACTGTGTCTGAGTGGGGTATTCATGTTAAACTGCGACATGGTATCTCAGTGTGCTAGCACTATAAATCGGCATCAGTCCGGACTAGTACAAGCAGCCACACACACACACACACACACACGTGCATGTACGTCGCTATATAAGTGTAATAATCTTGGACGCGACGTTAAACCCAATTTCACCTCACCTCACCTATGATCCTTGGTTTGTAGGCAGCATACCGTGACGTAACTCCCGCCATTATCCTGCTTTAGGTACCTGCAGTTCGACTCCTGGTGGTACTACAAAGGTGCAGGGAACGGCGTCAAGACATGGGAGAGCACCCCTGAAGTATTTCCGGACGGCATGCAGTAAGTGATAGGATTTGAATTTCTGATCACAGTCAAACGCTAAACCCTGAATCATTCGTGAACTGTTTGTTTGTTTGTTGTTTAACGCCGAACTCAGAAATATTCCAGCTATATGAAGGCGGTCTGTAAATATTCGAGTCTGGACCAGACAATCGAGGGATTAACATCATGATTTGTTTGTTTGTTGTTAAACGGCGCACTGGGCAAAATGACGGCTGTCTGTAAATAATCAAGTCGGAACAGACAATACAGTGATTGACATCATGATCATCGATCCACGAAATTGGGATACAATGACATGCATCAATGCAACCAAGTTAACGAGCCTGACCACCCGGTCCAGTTAGTCTCCTCTTACGGGTCCGTTTGTGAACTGATCCGAGGTGTACATGATATATATCACAGCACACACTATTTCACACACAAAAACTAGATTTAGTTTTTTTGGCATCGGGCAATAAATACTTCCTCTTTTATGCAAATTGTGTGAATAGCGGCTGCAACTGCTAGGGCAGGACATGCTTACCCTTTTCGTGAACACCTGGTGTCATCGCTCATTTACTGTTGTCCATTTTCATACTTTCACAGCTGTTTCGCCTTTTACGCCAAATGGAATCTATTTTGGCGCATAAACAAGACGATGATTCTCTTGCATTGGCGTTTCATATCGACAGTGAAAACTCATTAATTTCGGAAACAATTGTTTTCAATGTAACGTTCGGATAACAAATGTCAGAATCGACAAAACAACATTGTTTTATGGATCTGAAGACTTTCATTGGTGACCATTGTTATTGTATGCATGTGTGTGTATATCAATGTGCATATACATGTATTGTGACTGTATTTGTTTTATATCAATTCTAGGTGGCTGTACAATAAAACAAGATTCCCAATTTCAGCCCATAACAGATACTGGTAAGTGTTTCACGTGGAGCGTTAATGATTACTAAATGAGGAAACGACTCTTATGCGATTTGAAATGCTAAGTTGTATTCTAGTATTGCATGTTGTACAGTATCAACTCTGTGTAATTGCAGGGCAAGCGACACAACATATGCCAAACAGAATGGTGGTCAATATTCTTTCATTGTTGAAGGTACAAAAGCTCTTCCGCTTGACCAGGTATTTATAACACATATATACACGTTCATATTGTTCTGATTTAACTGTGTCGTTACCGTGTGAGAGTGGATTAGCAACGTTGTGTTCCCTCCATAAATACACCTTAATGAATTCTACTCACATCCTGCATGTTTTGGAGAATACTTGGTTTGGAATTAATCTTCTTCTAATAAAAACAACTGTTTGACTGATGATTTTCTTTAGAAATTCAGTTCCGTTATAATAATATTAATACTCATTAACGTTTGATGTATTTAACACCAACATTCCGATAAAAAGCATCCATATTACTCAATGCATCAAGCGGGTAAATATTAAATTAAAACAATGACTAAAACGTTTTGGATAATGCTTCTTCTGGCTGCAGCATCTTGTTTATTTTTTAGCAATATTTCTTTATAATAATATCGAGTTCCTCCATGTAAACTAATAGGGCACAAAACGACAATAATATTGATGTATTCAGCACTATCAAAAACACGGATATCAATCAAATCGTCAAGCAGGAAAATATAAAATATGGAAAAAGGATCTCCATAACTTTAATTTGGTTATAGCAATGACCTAACATGATCTGTTAACTTACTGATCTTTTAATTACTAACACCGGGTGGTGATGAGTTCTGATGGTAGCAGCTATCGCATGGTGAGTGAGTGAGTGAAGTGGGTTTAACGCCGCTTTTAACAGTATTCCAGTTATATCGCGGCGTGTCAGCTTAATGTGGGAGGAAAGCCCGAGGTGATGCAGTTCTCAGACGTTTACCACTTCGGTGAAACCCACGAGCACGGGTATGGTGCTGACAAACCTAGAAACATAATCGGGGGAAACCGGGAATCGAACCCACAATCATAGGTTTCTGGCGTGCCTAAGGGACGCAACTCTGCACAGCGAATCGCGGCGCCTTAGACGACTGGGCCACCCGTGCCCCCTATCGCATGGACAAATCCGTGCTAATGTTGTGAACCGTAGTTCCTTACACCTGAGATCTGATACGGACATACTATCCTTGAAAAGAACAAACGTCTTCACATGCTGCCTCCTTTTGTAAATAGAATAAAATCGTGGTATTTTTTATTACGATAAATATTTGTATTAATTGTAAATCAGGTAAGATCGCTACTTGCAAATGAAGTAAATTTCATCAACTGATAAATGGTTGCTGCAAAAGACACTGCCGTTAATATGTCTTACGCTTTTCTGCTTTCAGATATTCTGGGACGACCTTCTCTCCAATGGTCGAAAATGGGGTTTAGTGACATATGAACAGGTAGACACATTATGAGACATTTTCCACATTTACATAAAGGATGTTAGCCTGTAAATGGTCAAACACTTCAAAAACGAAATGAATATTGAATGAATTTATTTTTGACTAATTTTTCGGAAGCTCCCAGGCCTCCGTGGTTACGTTGACAAAAACACCTGCTGGAAGAGTGGAAGCTCCCCATCCTCCGTGGTTACGTTGACAAAAGCACCTGCTGGAAGAGTGGAAGGTCCCCAGCCGCGTCACGCAATAAAGACGTTAACAGATTGAACTTGTTGCTACCCTGCCTCACGCTCGGCATTCAGAGAGAAAGTTAAACCTCATTTTACCTTACCTCATAGGATGGTCACAATGCATTTCGTTTATAACTTCAGGACTGGCTGCAAGGGGAGTTTGGCGGAGTTCCTTCTCTCACTGAAGATGTCTACCTGGCAGAGATGTGGCTCAATCAGATGGGACGTGGAGCTGCCAAGAATGGTCTGACCATCCAGTACTGTATGGCCCTCTGTCGACACGCACTTCACGCGATTTCCATCCCCGTCGTGACACAGGTTGTATTATTGAACATGTTGATACCACAGTTGTCATTGAAATGTACATTTGATAATATTTATGTTTTAATAGGTTAACTGGGTGTCTAATTTGAAACATGATGTGATTTGTTTGCCAGGTAAGAGCTAGCACAGACTACCACCCTGGACGTCAACAATGGCGTATCGGCGTGACGTCCATGTTAGCCTGGGCTATTGGCATTGCTCCTTTCAAAGATAACTTCTGGACCACAACTGTTCAGCCGCGAGGTCGTAATACAGGTTAATGATTTACACATGTGAAAATACCACAGATACTATATCCTCTAATCCCGATGGAACCTGATTAAAACATATGCATTTCGTAAGAAGCGACTTCATGTGATCAGATTCGATGATTTGGTAAATTTTTGCTATCACTTCTAAATCTGACGCTGCTGCTACCTCCGAGCCACCATGGCAATTGGTAGAAGTAGATGATCCCAACTTTTGCCTTGTCGATTAATTTGGTGTGTGTGTTTTGTCATCAATGTTCTCCAGAATATGTCTTCTAGTATCTGACAGATATACACTTCTTCAATACAGACAGAACAGAACCGTACCCGGAATTGAACGCTCTGGTGGCCACCCTCAGCACAGGGCCTGTCGGACCAAGTGACATGATCGGCAAATTCAACAAGACAATCATTATGAAGTATGTAGGCAGGGTTAAATTCTTACTGTGCATTGGATTTGGTTGGTTTGTTGGTTGGTTGTTTAACGCCTCACTCAGCGATATTCCTGCTATATGACGGCGGTCTGTAAATAATCGAGTCTGGACCAGACAATCCAGTGATTGACATCATGAGCATCGATCCACACATTTGGGATCGATGACATGCATCAACAAAGTCAGCGAGCCTGACCACCCGATCCCGTTAGTCGCCTCCTACGACAAGCAGCGTCGCCTTTTACAGCAATCATGGGTTGCTGAAGACCTATTCTACCCCGGGTTCTTCACGGGTTCTGTGCTTTGGAAAATATGTGTTTACTTGATAGGACTGTTTGACCATTCAGTTCTATCTGTTCTTTGAATGCAACGCTGCGAGGTACAAACATTCAAAATGGTGAAAACTCAACAAAACTAAAAATTATGATATTTTTCTGAACACTGCACATCCGAAGATTACTTAGGGTAACATTGATATGAGACTGGATATGAGACTGGATACCAGGCTCTTTATAAAGAACATTCGAACATGCAATAAAAGCTTCATTTAATTGCCCGTGTTTTTTTCGAGCTGTTCAAAAAACATTACCCTGGTTCATATCCACGTCACAATAACTTTTGTGTTTGAGTACAAAATAATCTATGAACTATCAATAAACGTACATGCCTAAAGATGTAAACAAATTTACATTTAAATGGTTTTGTAATATATTTCATAACAAGACCTGTCATTGACAATTTCTATCTATTTCATAGTTATTTACTGACATAACCAAAAACACTGATTGTAGGAGCGCGAATTCTGAGGGACTGATCCTGAAGCCATCAAGACCCGCCACAGCTATTGACAACATGATCAGAAGGGTAAACACACGATCAGCGGCATAACTCATCCAAAGAACATAAACTGATGATATCCGGAGGCTTTCATATACTGACACAGATTTAATGGCTGCGTATTATCACTTAAAACGTCTTTGGTCATTGTAATTTTTCTCAAAATTTGCAAACCGAAAAAAAAGTTTTTCAAAAATTCATCCCATTGTTATTACCTTTATATTTTATATAAATACACTCTTTCAACGGGGTCATATTATATACCAAACACACCCTATCTTATTCATTGAGGCCCACCTTTTCCCAATCGTTTGTATTCACAGGTATGTTTCCAACAACAACGCTCAACATCATAACAGTGCTTAACTGTTCCATTATTGTTTTTTTCATATTTTCAAAATATTTGGAGATCAAAGTTTACATTCATTTCACCATTTATTGTGTCATTAGGAAACTCTGTTGATTAATGCATGATCACATGTTACAGTGTTGTAACTGATCTTCAAACATTATATGATTTCGCATCTACGATATATGAGACATATATATATTTTCTTGGAATGGAGGAGCACACACACTTTGTTGAGATCCACATTTTGGTCAGCACCTACGACATGTCCACTGAAGTGTTACATTTGAGTAGTAGTACATGGTCCTCAGTTGATCCAGCATGTTCAGTGAATAATTACATTCTAACCCAAACCCTAGACCCTAACCCATTCTTTGTGTAAAATCGGAGGGCACATCCTATGTTTTTTAAATGTTCTGGATTAAATTATAAAATTTAAAAAATCAAGTGGATGTCCTTATGTATGATCCAATCGTAATTATTTTCAGCTGGCATGGAACGACTTTGAAGGCCCAGATGGGGAAGTATGGTCGACGTATTCTGACTTTGGTGGAAGCAACAAATATGGCATAGTGCTTGCTGCGGACCTTCAAGGGAACTACACCATGACGCCGTGTATGGCTGGGTTCCAAGGGGTAAGAGTGGGAGAAGCGAGTTTTCACACATCAGTGAGCTCAAGTCAGAATTAATCATAGTGATATGTATGTAATCGTTCCTGGACGAGGGAGAAGGGGTTGGAAGTATGAGCTCAGGCCATCAGACTCTTTCTTTATTCTGGTCGGTTCTTACAAGCAGGAAGAGCAGGACAACATTCAGAACGGGAATCCCAAATACTAAGAGAATCAAACTCACTGTAAAGATTTAGTATTTTTTTAGGCATTGGATGTTCTCCCATCCCTTCCTTTTTGGGCAGTCAAGTATTGGTAACATTGAACAACTTTATGCTTCCAGTTCCCCAAGTCTATGGTGTTCCCTGCGAAAGACCCCAACAAGGTCCAACTGCTGACAGACCCCCAGCCTCTCCAGATGAGTGGCTGTACCATGGTGGACTTCTGTCTGTACTATGTCTCGCCCGTTGTAACATTTCAAGGGTGAGAGTCCAAAGGCAAACTTTTCCCTCAGTCTAAGACTTTGAAACAGGTGATGTTCTATGTTGGGACGTTAGCTCATAGTTAGCTGCCACAGCATGATGAGGTTTACTGGCATACATGCTTTTGAAAAGGTTCAGACTTTGACAATGACACAGGTGCCACAACGAAGAGACATGTCCTCAGCATTGCCAGGTTCCGTAAATCAAGTGTTCGAATCTCATATTGAACTTTGTCATGAATCATGATTAGTCAGCTCAATTCCTGTGTATTTCACCAATGGGGTCTGGACTTTCAACTCACACTATTGGAATCTGACACACTGTAAAAGGGATTGAAGGACATTCTCTATCTCTCATTAACTAAAGTTCACGAATTTCTGTTTTGCAGACATCAGGTCTTGATTCAAGGAGAACTCGATAAGTGGGTGCCAATGTCACCACAGAGAGTTGTCGACATCAACGTTGACGTCAGCGACATCAACGTCCGTATTGCAGGAGGGGCTAATGAAATTGTCAACTTCTGGTTCAACACCGACGGAGTGTCAAAAGGTCTCACGTGTGACATCAATGACTCTGGCTTTGCTTCTATTAGTTACAAATCGTGGGGATGTACATCTGAATAGAATACAAGAAAACATCTCAGTTTATGTTATAACTTGTATCAATGAATACCGTCATAGAAATAAATGGTATTATGTATAAAATCTGTTGGTATCTGGTGATGTGTCATTTTAAAAGGTGAGGTGAGGTGAAATGGGGTTTAACGTCGCGTCCAAGATGATTGCACTTATATAGCGACGTGCATGTACGTGTGTGTATGTGTGTTTGTGTGGCTGCTTGTACTAGTCCGGACTGATGCCGATTTATAGTGCAAGATCACTGAGATACCATGCCGCAGTTTAAAATGAATACCCCACTCAGACACAGTATACTGACTCCGAGCCGACAAGTCCATGTTTAAGCCCCTTTATACCGAGCGCCAGACAGGGTAACAACAAGTACCAGCTTTTAACGTCTTTTGGTATGACGCGGCCGGGGATCGAACCCGGACCTTCCCCTCTCCGGACGGACGCTCTACCACTAGACCACGGAGGCGGTCCATTTTAAAATGCATTGAACAAAACAGATTATGCATGAAAAGAGAAGGAGTGGACAACAAAATGGTTCAGCACTGGGGGGGGGGGGGGGGGGGGGGGGGGCTGTTGATTCCATCCAGTAGGCTGGTTGTTTCTTTGTTTGTTGGTTAACTCAGCAATATTCCAGCTCTATGACCGGTGGCCTGTCAATATAATCGGTTCTCGACCACACCGTCCGGTCATCGGTATTGTGAAGAACGATCAACGCTTTCGGAGAACGGTGTCTGGCAATCAGCAAAGTCACCGAGCTCGATTTGCCCTCCTTTTATCAATTGGCATTTGCTTGACACCGATGCTTAACCAGATCCCCAGGGTGTCTGTAGAAGTATATTGTATATTGTATAATGTACATTGTGACATCATCTTTGAGTATAATAAGTGACACATCCATCTCAATCCCTGATCAATTACTTAAACACACCATTTCTCTCGCTATATTTTGTGTGTGTGCCTGGCTATCTTTCATCTCATTCGTCTAAGGCAGTGTTTGGGTCCATTTTTTCACCATAAGAAAATGGAGATAAAATGTCCTTGGTATTCAAGGTTGTCGTGCCATATACTCTATACAACCACCGCAAATGATTGAATTCATCAAATGAAGCACACTGGTTGAAATGTATTTTCTATCAGAATGATTGACACGGAATATTGATGTACATGCGTATCGTTCTGTTGTTAAATTGAATGTTGCATCAATAGTGCATGCATTGACTATGCAAGGATTCGCATTTGTTCGTCAGACCCGCACTCATAGCATGATCTTTTTAAATACTGTTTAAGACCTGTAGCACTCCATTTAACAGAGGAAATGATGATCAAAGTGTTTGTACATATCACAACATTTAAAACCTACATAATCTTCGCTGACATATTCATTGAAAACACACCAGAGAGTTTGTTCAAATTATCATAGGAAATGCGTTGGTGTTTCTGTTGGATTGCTTGGATTTTGGTACACGTATGATGTGCGCTGATCACAATTATAATTATTCGTAGTCTTTGGTCCTGTCCAAACTGCCTCTGTTCATCCAGCAGCGAATGGCTGTCCGGTTGCATGTGCTGGTAATCAACGAGTACACATGCTCTCATCATTAGTCAACTGCTATTTACGTAGAGTTATATTCCAGCAGCTCCAGCCTTGTGGGGGGCCTTGTGGGGGCCGTGATATTACTGAAATATTGCTAAAAGCGGCGTAAAATCAAACTCTCTCACTCACTCACTCACCAGCCTTGTGGGTATACATTTCCAAACTTGTCAGTTACACCCGAGCATGCTCATACGAATATTTCAAAAACCCTCACGCGCCGAAACGTTACTTGATCAGGGTATGGAGAACATTATTCAAATGGAAATGACGCGGACTGTCTCCTTGGTCCAATGGTAGAGCGTCCGCCCGGAGAGCGAAAGGTCCGGGGTTCGATTCCTGCCCGCGTCATACCAAAAGACGTTGAAAGACGGTACTCGTTATCCTGTCTGGTGCTCGGCATTAAGGGGCTTAAACATGGACTCGTCGCCTCGAGGTCAGTATAATGTTTCTGGGTGAGGTATTTATGTTCATGACATCTCAGTGACTAGCAGCATCAGTCCGGACTTGTACAAGCATCCACACAAACACACACACGCACACGTGCATTCGCGTCGCTATATAAGTGCTATAATCTTGGACGCGACGTTAAACCCCATTTCAACTTACCTCACCAAATGTGCCACATGTTCCCGCATTTGTTCAGGTGAACACTTGACTTGCTTTTGCATGTGTTTGTGACCGCTGCCACCAGTGGGACAAGATACGCTTATTTCGCGAACACCTTATACACATGTATATGTAGATATCATAAATTACAATACGAATGTTTCTAAGATTTATTAACATCGTAAACATTCTACTAGGTTGTTTGGAAAATTAAATTACTTTAACGGGGACGAGTGTATGACAACAATGACATTTTGTAGAAAGATCCGACATAGGTGTACAGACAAATGCCACATATTTTAACTAAAGGTTCGTTATTACTGATTAAGTTTTTATCAAGTATAAATTGTGCAAACATTAGCATAACAATAGCCTCTATTTATAAATGGAAATGTATCAATTTATTGTCTTCAAAACAAACTCCATCTCACGTCTTGAGGCACATTGGGGACACGAACTAACAGTAAACGATATCAATTATGAACTTAAACTCTGCTAATGATGCTTAATAAACTGGTCGGCAAAAGAAAGTAGGTCGAGTTCGATGATCGATAAAAAAATAACAAGAAGAGGGGAAACAAATGATGGATCAACCACAGTTTGAATAAAATTGTGCAATCACGGGTAATGTAAGCTCAAGGTAGACAATGGTGGGGTAAGAAATTTCATTTTCAAAAGTTATCTGAAATGTCACCAAAAATTGTCAGACACTCTACAAGTTCATTGTCGACACAGTTGCCTTCAATATTGTGTATGACCTCCAGCTGCCTTAATGCATGCTGTGATACGCCGCCTCATCGATATGACGTCAGTCTTCTGATGACGTGGACTGGAATCTCAGGGCCTGCTGCAATTCTTGTCTGTTGACGGGAGGCTGATGGCGTGCTCTAATCTGTCTGTCAAGATGGTCCCACAGATGTTTAATAAGATTCATATCGGGTGAGTGGGCAGGCCAGGGCAAAACGTCAACGTTGCGTCTTGCTGTATGGGACCTGGCATTGTCGTGTGTCCCCTGCTGTTGGTTTTGTAAGAACGGAAGCACAACTGGCTGCAACTGGCTGCAACACTTGGTCTCTGTACTGCACAGCGTTCAGGTTTCCCTGTATAATCACCAATTCAGTCTTCTGATCTCAGCAAATAACGCCCAACCTCATGACACCTCCCCCGCCAAATGGATGGACCTCTCGAATACACGCCGGAGCTAAACGTTCCCCTCTACGTTGATAAACTCGTTCTCTGCCTTCATTTCGAAACAAGTTAAACCGACTTTCATCAGTAAACAGCACTCGACGCCAATTTCTCACTTGCCAGCGTCGAACCTGCCTCGCCAATCGCAGTCTCTCAGGCGTCGATGTTGAGCAGTCAGTACCACCTCGGAAAGGACGATACGCTCGGATTCCAGCAGCACGAAGTCGTCGTAGTACTGTACGTTGGCTAATGGGATGTCCCAACGCTGTTGCTGCCGTCGCCGTTACGAATCTGTTTTGCAGGCGAATGAGCCGTATCTGACCGTCTACCTCCCTGTCTGCCTGTACCGTTGAATAAGCCTTGCTACTGTCAATGGTGTACAACCAAACCTTCTGGCAATTTGGACCTGTGTTGCCCCCATTTCGGCCATACCGATAGCTCTCTCTATCTCTCTGCTACTGTGACAAGTCGTGGCATTTATTTTGTGTGCTTTTATCACGTGTGGTAATACCCTGCAGACGAACGCATTTATACAGCTAACATGCACGTGCAATTTATGCCACAGGCGGGAAACCTGTTTCACCATTTTTTTGTCACCGCACGAGCGCAAAGGTGGCGCGTTCGGGTGAGGTGTTTTTTATGTACCTGTTCCTGGGCAGTCATGTGCCCAATTCCCACGTTACACTAGTTATCGCTGTTTTTTGGAAAATTACAAATTGCCAACCTATCCTTTCTTTTGGCGCTTAGTTTATATACTATTGAAATGTTCATGTTTGATTGTGTGTTCCAGTATGGTTGTGTATTAATTGATGAATGCATTGTAGGCGTGTGTGGTTGGTGTTGTGGGATGTGCTCGAATGACACATTCCCACCCCCGATGTTGCTGTATCGCCTTCACCCACATATGCATCCTATGTAACAGTGATGGATAGACACATGATGATGATATAGTCTGTACTGAACAATGGTTTGTCGCTTTTATTTAAGAAATTGTACAACTTCTTGAACCAACTTTAGTGTGGATTTTTTGCCATGTTTATGGGCTTTTTTATTTATATTTTATTTCAGCGTGGAAATGATTTTATTGCATATACCTTTCCTAGCGTGTGTGTATATATACTGGCCAAAAAAAGAAACGCATAGCTGAAATTTGTTTTTCAAACTTGACTGTTATTAAAAATGAAGGCTTGAACTCAATATAAATGTCATTGCTATCTGTGAATATTATCCTTACACTAATGTATTGCATCCGAACACAACATTTGGTGACTTGTCGCCAAAATACAGCATCTTGAAACCAAACTGGGAGAAATTGCATGGAGAAAAGGCTGTAAGCATGCTGCACGTGCAAATACGGCTACTTAACTTTTATACCGATCGGTGTAAACATTTGGCAGTCCGAATCACTCTCCGATGTTCTGTATACGTGACTCTCATGATGCCAAGACTGAATGAAGACTGTAGAAACAGAGCCATTGGACGTCTGGAAGCTGGAGAAAGTCAGACATCAGTAGCCAGGTACTTTAACGTGAGGCAGAGTACCATTTTTCGTCTGTGGCAGCGCTACAGACTCCACAACTCTACAAGAGATCGACCGAGAAGTGGAAGACTCAGGGTCACAACTGCGGCGCAGGACCGCTTCATCCGGGTGTTGCATCTTCGCACCCGTTACAGTGCAGCATAACAA